TGTCTTCACACGCGCGGACGATGAAGGACGAAGGACGAAGGACGAGGAAGAACAACTGTTTCAGAATGCTAATAACTATGATAACTATGATTTTTAGCAATTTATATATATATATATAAATTACATATATACATACATATACATAGATAACGAATTATGAAAACTTAAACCTAAAACTAAATCTAGACCGAAATGAGAGATCACAAAACAAAGAAACAAACAAGTCAACAGGGCACAGCGCTTCTTAACTATATATATATACTTATATATATATATATATATATTCATTTCGACAAGCAGAACTTTTTCTAAAAGCCTAAGAAGAACCTAAGAACCTAATGAATACCTAAACCTAAACCTAAAACAAACCAAGTACATGTAAAACCAACGCTAATCTTAAAACTATAACTAACTTTTTAAACTAATATTGAAATTGAACCCAACAAAGTGTTCATTAAACTAAAAAAACAAAAAACAAACGGATTACATGATTATGTACAAGCATGTATGTATATGTACTTAACGTTATATACATTAAAGAAACAACACAACATTTTGTATGGCTATGGCAAAAAAAAAAAACAAAAACAAAAACCAAAATATAAAATCCGAAAAAGCAAAAAAAAAAACATAAGCAAAGAAGGTGAAGATGAAAAACCCAACAATTTAGCTAAGTAAATTTAATGTAAAGAGTTTATTGAATAAATTGAGAAACAACCCGAAACAACAAACAAACATAAGGGGGACAAAACTTTAAATGCAACTTTCATCAGATTTCGAACGAACTTTACGAATTTTCAAAACAAAAACATAAAAACAAAAGAGAAAACTGCGCTCTTTACGCCTATCTACCGAACTTCTCTATAAATAACACACATTATATGATATAATTAATTAAATAACGATGATGATACGATGATGGAGGCAAGAAAGTTATGGGTTAATCGAAACAGAAAATACTTGCATAGGCAAACACTTGTTTTTAGCACTAAATGAATGAGTCTCTCTTGCGTTACTTTTGTTTAACCAAAAATACTAATTAAACCAAAAATAAATTAATATACATACAAAGAAAACATACTATAAAAAACATACATACTATATATACATACATTACATATATATAAATAGAGTTTTTTAGATCGAAAAGCCCCCAAAACTCGAATTCGAACTCGATAATGAAGCCCAAAAATACCGCAAGAAATCTCGTCTCATCTCTCATGGATGTGCTACACACTAAATTAGTAACTAAACTAAATGAACTAAACTATTGTTAAACCGCAAACACACACACACACACACACATGAAACTCCATTGAAACATCAACTAAATATTACATAAAGCAAAGTTAAACCTCGAGTTAAGTAGGCGAGAGTTTGCAGAAGAACGAGCTGAGGAGAATTCGGAGGCAGTTTGGAACTCGAACTCGATAGCTCCACAGAAATCCCCCAGAAAACGCAGCTAGGTAAACCGAAATGGAGAAATCGTTAGTGCAGTATAATAAAGAACAAATTGTATTATATCTAAGCCCAAGAAAGTTAAATGAGACAAGTTAAAACCTAATGAGAAACACACACAACTCACACACACACACGACCTAAAACATGTTAATTACAAGCGCTAAAACCCCCGGTAAATAGCAAAAACCAAGGAAACACAGAGGTAGACGACGACAGACCCAGGACGGCGGCTATTTATTAAAGTGATTTATAGGGCAGAGTTGAAAACCAACTTTCAGCTAAAATATAGAATAATGAATAAATAAATTAATGACCGAAAAACCACAAAAAAATATTTTAAAGCAAGCGCTTGAATTGTACATTTTTACAAGGCAACACACTGTACATTAAGCGCCCACGGCATTAAGTAAAAAAATGGAAAATAAATAAAGAATAAAAAAACAACAAAAAACAAAAAAGAGTTGACAAGCACATAAAACAAAACAAAAAGAAAAATCCAAAAAAAGAAATTATACGAGACAGCAACGGAGTGTGTGTTCGTGCGCCGGATACACAAGAAGTTGCCTAGCCAGAACGGAAATGAGTTTATTAAATATATACATTTAAAAATTCATAAACAAAACAAAAAGAAATCATGAGAAAGGAAAACCCAAATAATTCGTTGCATAATATTTAAAACGAAGGTAGTATTAAACTCGATTGCCTAATTCTAATATTAAAACCGAAAGAAAACAAAAAACAAAAAAACTATAAAAACATTAACATTAACAGTAATAATAATAATAATAATGAAAACAAGAACAACAAAAAATGTTATTATACTTATTATACCGATTAAAATGAAAACAAAAACAAGAAAACCGACAAAAAATGAAACAAAACAAATTAAAATAAAAATTTTATTTAGATTAAAACGTTTCGCACATTTCGCCTGATCTACACACCCGCCCCCGCATGCACTCGTAGGTGAGGGGAGGCCAAAAGAAAGGTAGGTTTAATTTTTAAATAACATATTTAAGGAATCTTGGAATTTAACTGGTAAATCCAACAGGTTTTTTATCATAAAAATGCTTTAATTTCCAACCCAATAATCTGATTGATCCAACCTTAAACTTTAGGTATTATGTCATTTTAGCATAATTTGTACCTGGAAATTTTAGGTGTAACGTCTGCTAAATCATACCTAAATAGTGAAATGAATAATAAGAGTCTGATTCCTTTTAAACTTCTAGGAAAACAAAGAGAACTAAGAATTAAAAGTCAATCCTGTGGTACATTACTCATCCGCAACGTTGACCCGCTTATTAGAATTTTAATTGAATTAGGTTAAATCATTCCACATAAATTTAAGAAATTCAAAAAAAAATCAAGCAGTATATACATATAAATATATATATATATATAGTCCTCCGATTCGCCATGCTCCGACTTATATTCTAGTAAAATTATATAGAAGAATAACTCCATAGTTTCATTCAAAAAGCTTGCTCTTCATTTGTTCCAAAAGGAATCTCGAACAAGAACATATGATTCCCAACTGGTTCTAACATCCCCGGAACGAAGTGACTGCTGCCGGCCAAGTCTTAGAAATGTGTTGTGTTACAAAAGTTGCAAGTCATTGTTTATTAGTGTTCAAAGTTAGTAACTGATCATACATACTTTCTAGTCATAAATACTTATGGATCATAGATACTTACTGATCAGAGTTACTTAACGTTCATTGATACTTACTGATCATAGTTAATTACTGGTCATAAATACTTACTGTTCAGAGTTAATTACTGGTCATAGATACTTACTGTTCAGAGTTAATTACTGATCATAGATACTTACTGTTCAGTTAATTACTGGTCATAGATACTTACTGTTCATAGCTTATCTTCATGTTATATGATTCCCAACTTGTTCTAGCATCTCCGGAACGAAGTGTCTTCTGCCGGCCAGGTCTTAGAAATGTGTTGTGTTACAAAAGTTGCAAGTCATTGTATATTAGTGTTCAAAGTTAGTAACCGATCATACATACTTACTGGTCATAGATACTTATGGATCATAGATACTTACTGATCAGAGTTACTTAACGTTCATTGATACTTACTGATCATAATTAATTACTGGTCATAGATACTTACTGTTCAGAGTTAATTACTGGTCATAGATACTTACTGTTCAGAGTTAATTACTGGTCATAGATACTTACTGTTCATAGCTTATCTTCATGTCATATGATTCCCAACTTATTCTAGCATCCCCGGAACGAAGTGTCTTCTGCCGGCCAGGTCTTAGAAATGTGTTGTGCCCCAAAGTTGCAAGTCATTGTTTACTAGTGTTCAAAGTTAGTAACAGATCATACATACATACTTCCTGTCAAAGATACTTGCTGTTCAGAGTTACTTACTGCTCTTAGGAAATTTCTGATCATAGTTATTTACTGATCATAGGTACTAAGTGTTCATTCATACTTACTGGTCATAGATACTTACTGCTCATGGTTAATTACTGAATCTGAAATATATAAGACCTAAGCTTAATATATTCACTTTCTTTGAATCGATATTTTAGTTGGCAAATTTTTCGACAAAAAAAAGTTTTTATTAGGCTATTAAATCTGCATACTTTTTTTTAAATGTAAAAAAATTAAAATTTTTGCCAATTTTTGACAATTTAACCTCTTATAAAATTTTGAAAAAATGACAAAAATATTTTTTCTTCCCAACATGGCTAGAAAGTTTCGACTTTTTATGCTCAAGAATATATATGATTTATAGGGTCGGAAATGACTCTTTCACTGTGTTTCGAGCTTCTGACTAAAATGTGAATGTCCTGATTTAATAACAAATTTATTAGAAAAATGGTTTGCATCTCTTTAATCCAGTAATTTGAACAGAAATAAAGCTTTATTAGTTGTCAGCCTGAAGTCATATTTATTACTCATCCGCAACGTTGACCAGATTATTAACATAAATGTTTAGAAGGATAATTCTAAACATTAAATAATTATCTTAGTAAGAAAAAATTCTACAAATAAACAGTTGAAGTGATTGAATAGTTAGGGAAAGGTAAGATTTACAAAATAAGATAAATTACAAAGAATATGTAAATTAGAGTAGATTTTTGGAACCTACCCTAAACTGCAGTAAAAGCTAATATAATTCAGCACCAAATGTTACCATTAAGATCTTCATCTCCGTCCCAACAAAAACCGCATCAGTTAAGTAATAGATCATACGCCGCATAGACCTTTTTGGAAGTTTAAGCAAACGCAGAGCAGCCAAATATGTTAACAAAATGTTACCACATTTAGCAAACATTAATAAACGCGTTGCCAAGCTGGAGAAGATTGCCAGTTCAAGGTGCCTGCTGTCCACTGCGACGAATCCTTATCTCACACGCTCCCAAACTAACCCCGCACGAGATGTGTGTGCTCAGGTAGCTGGCGAGGTAAACCTCATGTCGGAGCACCCGTCCATCCATCTATCCCTCTGACGGCGCTGATAGCGCTTCGGCAATCTGACGTCATAAATAAACGAATTACGCTCTTATCAGGCTTTTGGTAATAATAGGTTTTGCTTTATTTAAAAACGTCACTACAAAGTTGGTTGCATCATATGGTTAATGGTTAATATTTGATTTCAGATAACACGCAAGTCTGCACTTTAAAATGCGCTACACAAATAGATATCGTAGTTGTATTTCTTCTAGTTCTTTGTCTTGGCTTCTCGAAAAAAGGTACTAAAGGAATCTGCTATCTTTGCTGCCCACTTTGCCAAGAGCTATGGGAAATATCTTGCTTATCAGGCCTCCTACATACATATGTATTTTATAGCTCAACTAGAAAATACGCTTACAAATATATATATATATGTTTAGATATATATATATGTGTATTTGTGTAAGTACACAGATGCTTAGTCATTACATCCATGCGAGGGAAGGGCTAAGATTAACATTCATAAATTATGCACAAAATAAATATATATATATATATTCGCACTTAAAAGACCTAAGAAAAAACATCATCGCACAGCAACTACCATCGGACTTTATCTGAGTTCACTGCTCTTGGCCATTCGATTGAATTGCATTGTCGTTGGCGGCGACGACACTGGTTCCCCCGCAATTGCGTGGTGCCTGCAGCAGATCGGTGTACTGGAGCAGGGCCTCACGCAGTGATCGTGACACCTCCGGTGACGTTGTGGTCGTGCAGTCCACCAGGTATGGATAGAGGCCAATAAGCTGATCCCAGGCGGGCTTGTTTACTGCAGGAAAAAGGAAAATGTTAAAGTTGATGTATATATCGATTTCAGAATATTATTTGAGTTTCCCTTACCCTTTGAGGCCGGAGCCTTTTTCATAGACACCACCAGCGTGGCAATGGCTTTGAGCACAAAGGATATCTCTGACAGCCGGAATCTGGAAGGGTAATTAAGAATAATGGTGATGCTATTTACGTTTCAAATATCAGGAACTCACCTTGGCAAAGGACACTTGCCGCTCTGTCGTTCATCGTCGTTGAAGCGCTTCAGAACCTCCTGGAAACGATGAGCAAAGCGGTGACCGCCAGCCGTCCGGCAAAATCCTTGCCGCCCGCCGCTGCAACTGGCAGAGATTGGCATTGAGACGGTTATTGTTGGCGTTGGCATTATCCTCCAGCAGCGAAAACTGCAGCAGCGTCTCGAAGCACGTCTTGGCAAAAATTTCGCGCAGCTTCCAGTCGGACTCGTAGCAATGTTCGTGTCCGAGGCGGAGTGAATGGAGCCCTTGTTCAGCAGCACTACGATCTGCATAATAACTGGTGCGGCATTTCATGGGCGTGGGGCAGCACCTCGTCCCTCAGCAGCTCGATGACCTGACAGTCGATCGTCTCGTCTAGCACGATTTCCTCCAGGCCGCGATCCTCGACGGTGCACACGCTGGCCGGAAACAGGAACTTGTCCAAGGTGTCCGCCAGATCATCCCACAGGCTGCCAAAATGCTGGGGCTTGGCACGCGCCACTTTCAGCCCCGTGTGCAGAACGCTGATCAAACTGGAAATGGCCAGCTTCCAAGTGCTAGACGACAGGCACTTATACTTCATGGCCAGCGGTGTGCGCAGCGCCTTAACAATGTCATGCAGGATCTGCTCCTGCACCACCGGCTCCTCGGTGGCCGTGTCTGGTACAGCTTCACACAAATACTGATTGACTTCTCACCGAAGGGGATGTAGTTCATGCTAACCACCTCCACCGAGGCATTGTTGGAGTAGTGGCCCGCAGAGGACTTGGCATACTTGTGCTCGACACTTTGCTGAAAGGTGGGCGGGGCGCAGGCAAACTTGCTGAAGATCAGCAGCTGGCGGAAAATCGCGGGAATGAGCTGGCGGATGTGCGAGTCGTTCTTGGTGGCCTCCTGTACGTGATAATTACGGTTATTGAGTTAATTTATTCTATCCAGCTTATCTCACCTTTGTATAAGCTCCATGCAGTCGAGAATGCCATCGTGGAGCGGCGTCAGCAGCGTGTCCGAGACGGTGGACATAATGTAGGGCACCGCATCGGTTTGGACGGGAATGCACACAGCATTGGTCAGCACAGTGCAGAATTTGTCAAAGTCAGCGGCACTAAATCTATAATTGTGAATGATATAAAAAGTATTCATATTTAACAAAGTTGGGGATTACTAACTTGACTTGTATGTGGTGAAAGATGGCGGGAAAGATTTGAATCAGGGCCGTGAGAAAGGCCTGACTGGGAATGTAAAAATCGTCCTGGCTGTCGGCGCCACTGCTGTTCTGTTGCTGCAGCTTCGTTGTGGTCGATGTGGACATCTTGGTGCTCTCCATGCCAATGCTCAGCCAGATGTTCCAGGCAATCTGCTCAGGAAAGAAAGGTGCGTATATAAATATGTAAAGATTTAAGCGAAAAAAAATAATGCTAAAGCAACCAAGAACCTAACAAGGATGAGGTTTATAGTTGGTCTTCCTAGCTCCACTCTACCCTATACACTACTCACAGTCCAGATCTCCTCGTCCTGCTCCTTGGCCGTCTGTGGATCCTTCAGAGACCGCTCCGTTCGCTCCGTAGAGTTGTGGTACATGATCTCCTGCAGGGACTTGAGGGCGGCCAGCGATACCTCGCCATTCTTGCTCAATGCCGCATTCTGGATAAACTCTAGGATCAAGGACCACGCTCGCTCAAAGTCGCCCAGCTGCTGAAGCAGCTCCCGCTTGGTGTTGAACACCCGACACACACCCGAAAGGGTCAGCACCTGTGTCTCCGCCCATTGCTTCTGAGCGGTGTTGCGGGAGTGATGGATGAGGATGTTGCCGCTGGCATCAACCTTCTCGTTGCTGGCCGAGCTGCTTAGAGCGCGCACATTGTCCAGCAGCGGGAAGAGCACCTGCCAGACCAGCGCCTGCCATGTGGGTGGATTTAGCAGGCTGCCGTGGGCCGAGATGGTGGAGAAGAGCGTCTGGCCGGCTGATTTACGGACCGCCGGACGCAGATCCACACACAGCTCGCCCAGCTTGGCGTACAGGCACATCCACAACTTATCGAACTGCGGCATTTTCACGGTGCCCGGAAAATCGGGCAAAATGGACACGTCCTGGAGCTGCGTGGACATGAGCTTGTCCTGGTTTTGATTGAAGAAATCTGAAATGTTCCACTAATAAGGAAAGATTAGGGTTTATTTTAGGAGTTTTATAAGACGTCTTACCATTAGGCCAATGGCTGTCAGTGAGATGTTCAGCTCTTGGGTCTGGGAGCCGAACTTTGCCGCCGTGCTGATGCACAGGGGCAGGCATCGCCAGGGCATCACGGTGAGGAAGTCGGTGATAACTAGCTGCAGGCATTGGAATGCTGTGCGAACCAAGGGCTCGCCATGGTGCTCGTTGACAGCACCAATGATCTCGATAATAGCCGGCCAGCCGAAGGAGAGTATCTCACCGGCGGTGTTAAGTATCTGAAGGACGCAGTCTAGCTGCCTTTGGCGTACATCTGCATGCAGGACAGTGGACAACTCAGACAAGGGACTTAGCAGCATGGTTTGGAGTTCCTTTAAGACAAAGAATACATCGTAATATAAGCTGTGTAATTGGATAACTAGGATCACTCACCATGTTCTCCTTGAGTGGTGTCTTGTGCTTGAACTGCAGTGCGGACTTGACCAAGTAGGTAATGGCCTCCACGCCCCACTCTCGCATCCGAATGTGCCGGTGCTGACACACCTCCAGCAGATGGTTAGTCAGAGGCCGCCACAGCACCTTGATACGCGGCATATTCACTAGCCCCGTCTCCAACAGCTTTGCCACAGCAAACAAAGATGGCTCCCGATTGGCGTAGGCCAGTTCCATGGCTTCGTGCGAGAGTTTGCAGAGGGCGTCGATCAGATGATGCAGCGCCACATCGTCCAGATGCTGGCTGGACTCGAAGAGCTGACTTAGCATTTGTGACAGAACCGGAAGATCGGCCATCACGGCCGTTGTATGCCTACATTCGCTTCCACCGCTGGCTTGGCATCGCTGAAGACTGCCGCCTGTGGAGGGCTTCAGGCCCAGGATCCACACCAGATGCTGAAGCGTTTGCAGGACAATGTGCCACGAGGTGCCCAGTATGCCACCATTGTTGTGCGCCAGAAATAGGATAGCCCGCATACACTGCAGATTCTTGTTGGTCAGCATCACAGGCGCCTGCATCACGCTGTGCGGCAGCGAGGCGGAGGGAGCGGTGTGCCCACGGCCACGATTTGCGGCCGAAAGTCTCCGGAATCACCGCTGCAATTGTTGATGAACTGACTGCTCAGGTCCTGGCTGCCATTGCGGGTGTGGCATCTTAGTTCCCCGTCTGCCTGGTGGCGGTGTTGGCGAATATGGACATGGCTAGTGCGGTGGGAAGGAGGCCCGGCACATGGCCATGATAAAGGCATCGCGCGGCTGCAACTGTTCCAGCATGCCACAGAGGGCAGCATAGTTCTGCATGGCCTTGAGGATGTTCTCCGTAGTCGCCTCGTCAATGGATGTCTCCACCAGAGGGATAAACGCGCTGAGGAGGCCCGACCAGCTGGAGTTGACAAGCTGCAGGCACAGCGGCTTATGCTCCTCCTCGGTGATCACGGCCGTGTTGTGGCTAGGATGCAGCTCGGGCGTGCGCTGAATGACGCCGCCAATAGACCTAGTCATGTCCAGGAGTATGGCATGGCCCACGGAGATGCCATAGCTATCCGGTATGTTCGGGGCATCCAGCTTGTCCAGCATCTCTAAGCTGTAGTGAGAGATATAGTAAATTTTAGCGTGGTTTTAGAGTAAAGGTTATCCTGGTCTACTTACTATACTGCTTTGGATATGCCGGGCGCAAAGGTAGCAACCAGCGGCAGGTAAGCCCCGCGGAACATGAAGCCGCATTGATTGTTGCCCGACAACGCTGACAGCGTGCTGCCCATCCCGTTCTGCTGTCCGTTCAGCATGGCCGAGGCATTGATCAGGGAATAGCGCACATAACTGCCCATTGCGGCTATCATGTCGTGGACAATGTTTGTGGCGTGGTTCTTCAGGTCGTACGACTTGCAGAAGAAGGCAATTAGGGAGGAGCGCGTCACCAGCTTATGGATGACCTCCAGGGCCAGGGCTCGTTGCCAGCCGGGCTTATCGGATCCAAAACTTGATGATCAACGACAGGAATATCTCACACTCGGTCACCAAGATGGTATGGTATTTTTGAATAAGAATGGCCACCAAGCGTAGCAGCCGCATGCTTATCGGGAAATACGGCTTCTCGGCCGGCACGGGGGCATTGCCACTACTAGGAGCCGCCGGCAGTTGACGGTGTTTCACATTCGGCGAAAAGAGCTTTATGACCAAGGCACAGACCCGCTCCTTGAGCAGCAATCGGAAGTCGTTGCTCTAAGAAAAGAGAAGGTTATGCATTGGAAAATCATGGATAATTGCTTCTACAAATCGCACCTCATGGAACACGGCACTGAAGTTGGTGAGCACGGCCTCCAGCAGTTCCAAGCCGAAAGTGCGCGTCATCTCGGTCATGCCTACCAGCCAGTACGGCTGCTCTGCGTTCACCAGTTGCACTAGATCCTGGAACAGCAGGAATGCATCCGATGCGAAGGTCTGCACGTCCTGGCCGACGCCGCCCTCGGTCGCCTCTGCTGGCGAAACACTCGTCGGCTGCTGCTGTTGCTGTTGCTGATGCAGACTCTGAACGGAATCCTTTTCAAGGTAGACACGCTCGAAAACCAGCGACACCAGCTGACGGATGGTGGCCCCGGCAGTATTGACAATCGTTGGATTCTTGGTATAATGCAGGCGGAAGCACAAAACCAAGGCCTTAGCCAAGGTGTCGCCATGCACCACCGTGTTGGTGGTCAACAGCAAAGTCACCGTTTGCAGTACCTTTACCTCCTCAATGTTGTTCTCCATGAGCGTCCACAACGCATTAGTGATGTATAGAGCGCCCTTTTGGTCCACCACCTGCTGTGTGATGAGTCGCTGCATCATGCCTAAGCAAAACTGTAAAGGAGATTAAAGATTAGTCAAGCTTAAATTTGAGTCTAGACTGACTCACCTTTATGATCTTTAGATCCTTGGTCTCGCATCCCTGCACTAGGGGATAGAGTATCTGGTTGACGGTGTAATACACGGAATTTTGTTGGCTGCTGCCGGCAGAGCAGAGCTTGGAAATGGCCTCCTCGCATGCCTGAAAGGGGGGAACGGGAACAGAACCAGAACAGAATTAATGACCATGTGTTGCTAGTGGAAATGTCATAAAATCAATTTCATTTGCGCTCGCCGCTATCAATTTCATAATTGCGTAGAACAAACACAGGTGGAAAGCACAGAGAAAATCACCCCCAAACCCGCTACGCCACACCACACCACCCAACTAGGGGGGTGACACACACGGACGAGTGCCGCAATTAGAGAAGAACGGCCATGAAAACACATACACGTCACCCAGGCAGGAGCACTTACCTCCTTGATCTGAGGGTACTTCTTCTTGGTCTCCAGCGAGAGCGTCTTGAAGTCCGCCTGCAGCGCCTCCACAAACTTGTGCACATCCTGGCCCCCGCCTCCGCCCACGAACGACATGGTCACTGCTGCTGCCGCTGGTGGCTGCTCCAACTAGACTGACTACAGGCTTCTGTCTGCTCCGCGACGAGGGACAATCACTGAACTAGCTGCAGGCCACATTTAAGTACCAGAACCGAACCTCCCATATGCAACGCAATCACTTGGAAAAATTTAATAATAAATAATAGTAATGCCGTGAAAATTTGTGATTTTTTGACAGCTGACGTACACAGTGCGGTGCAGTGTTGGAAAGCGTGGGCCAGTCCCGATTTTACACACTGAAACAGCCGGCGGTCACACTGATATTTACTATTGAAAAGCGAACTGAAAAGAATTAATTAAATTGCTTAAGTTAGAAATGAACCTGTTGGACTTTAAATATTTTCGCATGCCCCACCTGCGGGAGGAGGTGCGCCGACACCTGCCCCAAGTGAGGACGGTTCCCTGAAGCAAGTACACTACACGAAGGTGTTAGTACATATGCATTTGCATACCTTTATAACTCATCGGGCAAATCTTTTCAGAAACACAAGCAGCTCGACTCCAAGGAGATCTTGGGGACGCTGGCCCAGTCCTCCAAGAGGCCGGGGAGGAGGGCTTGGAGCGACATTTGCTGGCCTCAAGGCGAACAAAGACACCAGCAATGTGCATCTGGCGGAGGCAGTATTCCCCATTATTGTGAACCTGCGACACCTTATAAGAAGGATGGACACCGCCATGGGCCACATGGAAGTTTATTCTTCCGGCGGTCCACAAACAAGCCATTTTCCGAAGGCGGAAAAGTTCGCCACTATCCGTACGAGGACCAATACAATTCCCATAAGTCCAAGGCCCAGGTAGCCTAGCTGGATGGACATGGTTTTAACCCAGAAAAATGCAAGTCAAAGGAATAATATATCGAGAAGGAGAGCCAAAATCCAGAGTAAGTAGTCAAGTGTGCATTGCATTTGCTGTCAAATTTTATTTATTTTTTTACGTAAACCAGATTTTCTGGTCCTTTTTCCACAGTTTAAACGATTAACGAATGAAATCCACGGAAATACCAGCACGATAAAGCAGACTTTGTATAGCCATGGCATCGGGCATACTGCGCTTTATCCTTTTCCTAATCATTGTTACCTTTACCATTTCTCGTACTTGTCGAAATCAAAGATCATGGTAAAACTGGAGTTGAGGCCATCGGAACCGTCAGAAGACAACGATGCTGTGAACGCATCCTTAGCAGGTCTTTATAATACGAAAACTACTGCCAGCAAGACTTTATCTAATTTTGGTAACCTGGGAAGTACTGTTCGCCACAATCATATCAGGAACGGACTAATACCCTTTTATGATCGCTTAATAAATAAAATGTCTGGTAAGCATTTTACAGATTATGTTATTCCCTACCTGAAAATAGTAATATATTATTATATATATATTTAATGAACTTTTAATTCACAGATAAGTACTCTTTGGATGACAAGCCCATTTCGGTGCGAAAGCCTTTGAAATTGGAATCCTGGGTTACCAAAGCTCCCATCCCAATTCCACTCGCAGGTGCTATCTATAAGCCTGGTCATCTTGACAATGACATCGACATCGAAAGGTTATGCCCCCGCGAAGGTGACTCGACAAAGTTGCTGGTTCTGATTACCTCAGCTATACACCATAGGGCAGCAAGGATGGCCATAAGACAGACATGGATGCACTACGGGAGCCGCAGAGACGTGGGTATGGCTTTCGTCCTGGGACATGGCAAAGACAATAAGCAAAACAAAGCCCTAGACAGCGAGGATTTCATGTATCGTGACTTGATACGCGGGAACTTCGTGGATTCGTACAACAACCTCACGCTCAAAACCATGTCTTTGCTAGAGTGGGTTCATCATCACTGCCGGCGAGCTAAGTACATCCTCAAGACGGACGACGATATGTTCGTCAATATCCCCAAACTGCTGTCGTTTCTGGACACCCACAAGGCGAATCGAACCATCTACGGTCGTCGCGCAGATTTCTGGAAGCCGGTGCGCAATAAATGGTCCAAATACTACATATCCTCTGACCAATATGTGGAGAATGTCTTTCCCACCTTCACCACGGGACCCGCATACATCCTTACCGGGGATATCGTGGGCGAACTCCTAGTCTGCTCGCTCAGCACCCCCTTTCTGAAGCTGGAGGATGTCTTTATCACGGGCATCGTAGCTGAAAGTCTGGCTATTAAGCGGGTGAATGTGCGCGAGATTGCCAACGTTCGCATAGTACTGGAGGCATGTCGTATTCGTGACAAGATTACTGTGCACATGGTAAGTCCCAATGAGCAGTTTGATGTGTGGATGAAGTTGCTGGATAATTCCATCAAGTGTTATAAAGGAAAAAGAAGTAATTAACTTGTTAAAAAAATTAGTTTTGCTAGTCAACGATTAGGTGTGATATATTGTACATATTTCCTATTAAATTGACTAAAATGTTGTATATATTTTGCTATATAAATGATAACTGCAATTGTAAGAAAATTGTTTCAAAATTTTTTTAAGAGCTTGTAATCAAAAGTCCAACATTAATATCCTGAGATCTTGCTTGACACTACTTTATGTAAATAATTCGTTATTTTATTGTTACTAAATAAAAAGTAAAAACATTATTGCTTTTAACACAAAATATATTTAAGAAATCAAGTTATGTTAGTACAATTTAAAACCAACAATAAGAAAACTAATGCAAGGACTTTAAATATCAAAGGAATATATACATTTGGGAAGACCGAATCAGGCCTTGAGTTCACCTAGAGGGCACTACTTTGCTGGTAAACGTAGAACTTCTCATCCTCATCCTTATTATCCGTCTTGTCAAGCCGCAACTTTCCCTCCTTCTGCAACTTGCTTAGATGATGGTTGACATTGTAAGCGGCGGCCGGCCAGAGGTTCTCCGGCGTCTCCTTGTAGACCACCCGCACCACATCCATCGCCTGCCAGCGTTCGTTAGGACGCTGGACAAAGAAGTCCAGGATCTGCGCTTCTCGCTGGTTCCGATGATTTATGTAATACTCGATCTTGCCAATTGGTTCTTCGATTACATTGCCATGACCCGGGAAAATGCGCAGCGGCTTGATGTCTAGTATTCGCTCCAGACTCTTCATGTACTCGAACAGATCCTCGAAGACGGCTGTGCCCTCGCCCAGGATGCAGTCGCCGCTGAAGAGGGTGCCTTCGTTCATTGCCAGCACCACATGATCAGTGGTATGGCCTGGCGTGTGCACCACCCGCACATTGGCTCCCTCAGTCTTGAATTCCTGGTTGTGTGCCAGCGGGTGGAGTTTGATATGTCCGGGTATCTCGGGACACACATCCTGGGCGTCCGTGCGTCTGTACTTGAACACGCGACAGTCCTTGTCCGCCAACTTGGTTCCAAGAATGCTCTTTACGCCGCCGACGTGATCGTGGTGCCAGTGGGTCAGTAAGATGGTGTCGATGGAGGCCTGCTCCTGCTTCAGCACATCGTTAAGATGCTCAATGTATTGCGGCACATCTTCGTCGCCGGTGTCGATCAGGATTCGCCGCTTTCCACTGCCCAACAAGTAGGTGTTTGTGCCTTGGAGTGTCATGGGACTGGGATTGCAGCCCAGGATCCGGATAACAGATGAGGTCAGCCGGGTTACGGCGGGAATCAAAGCCATTTTATCGTTCACGGCGTCTAAAAAGTCGGTTATGTTGCTGTATAATAATGTTTGTGTTGAGGTAATGGCCGAAATACGTACTTAAATACAGTATCAAAATAAGACACCTTAAGAAGAGTATTTTAAAGGTTCTAATCTTCCTTGGACTCTTATTAAATCAGCATTAACACGCGTATTATTGCAATTAATATGAACTTTGATACCAGAAATTTAACAAAACAGCTGTTTTAAATCAGTGTTGGAAAATAATTAGTGTGACCAAAAGGGTAAAGTTAACCCCATCCAAGTAGCATTTTCCGCGCACTCTCATTCTGGCCACACTACGTTAAAAAATTCGGTTGGAAGGGAGTATGTGCGGCCCACAAAAAAAGAGGAAAGAAATTGGGAATCGTAGCTCATTGTGCAAAGCCTCAAAAGTGTCATATAGCTAAAGGTGAAAAATAACCTGTCTTGCAAATTGCAAACTGCGCGAGTGAAGAGAAAATCTGAGAAAACGCGTTCGTAAATCAGAGTCTGCTGTGCGGTAAAAAAAAACAACAAAAAAAAACGCGAGAAACGGCGGAGCACCTATGCTAATGCTTATTTATTTTTAAAACATGCTACGCATGACTAATGAAACGGGTTGGCGTTATTAAAGACGATAAAAAACACAGAAATACTCAGCTAAACTAAAAACTGCCCAAGGCTCTGGGGGCAAACACACACACGCTTGCAAAACACACACACAAACACAAGCGAGAAACTTTAGTGGTGGCGCCTAGGGTCCAACAGCAGCAACAACAATAACAAAAACTACAACAATAGGCCATAATAGGAGGATTACCACTGCTGCAACAACAATAACTACAAACAACAATTCATCATTCAAGAAGCAAATTTATTAACGCTAAATAAACACTAAAAATAAACAGGCAACAGCAAGTAATTATGCTTGACCCTGGTCCAACAATAGACGTCGTTGCCGTTGCCGTCGCCGCCACCGCTATATCCGATTCCGAATCTAAAGCCCCGCTGGAGCAAGTGCAAGTGAGACGCCGCTAAAGCCACGCTTGGGAGGTGAGTTCGCTTAAAGCTGGAGAAGATTGGGCGACGAGACGAGACGCAACGACGATGACGATGCGTTGCCCGGGGTTTTTGTTATTTTATTAACACACATATTTATGTGTATTTCTTCGGTTGGGCAACGCAACGTAACGCAGCCCATTTCCAAATCCCAGGGCCGGACATTGCACCATCTTAAAGCTAAGCTTAAGCAGTAGGTTTCATTAACACCAACGATCTTTGGGTCCAATTGTTATAGGATATGTGTTGGTAAATAGAGAGTGCCAAAATATGGCATATTTTTAATGACCTTAACTTCTTGGTTTGGAAAATATTGTGTATTCAAAATAATTACTCAAAGAGTTAGTAAATTATCTTAAACTGAACTTTAACCAAACAGAAGACACACTTGCTCTTACTATTGCTTTGTTAGATAGAGAACCTTCCCTATCAGTTAGCTCGTAATTTTATATTTATTTAGATAAATATAATCTGTTCTCATACTATACATATGTACATAGAGCTACAGTGGCTTTGGTTACCGCCCCCAATTTATTCGAATTCTATCTAAATAAAGCATTAAATTGTTTAAACATTTTCAATTGAACTGAACAAGTCTAAAGATAATAGTAAATTGCTTTATAATTTTAATTCAGTTAGTAGCAACTGTCTCAAGTAGCTGATACTTTTCACTTATCTACTGGTAGATAAGAAACGGTTACTATAATTAAACAGTTAAGCCTTGTGGGTAAATAAAATAGAGTTACATACACATACGAAGACAGTCCTTGTTGTGTCAGATAAAATACAATCATTCGAATCAAAAAAACAAAATAAAAGGCGAATCTTTTGAGAAATCTCCGGCACAAAATGAATTCTATATCTCTTGGAAACCAGATAATTGTCAGAAATTGAAACATTATTTACAAAAGTGCATATAAATAAATTTAATAGACCCCTCGAGAAAAAGCCAGTGTATACCACACACATCTGCTTAGCTTAAGTGATAATTAAATTCTAAAAATGTACAACGAACACTTTGCTCAGAATTCATGTAAACTCGTCTGATTATAAATTATAATTTATAATTATTGATCCTCCTTGATCTGTGCAGGACATTACACCCGACTTTCCAAAGACTAGTTGAGTTTTATTAACACGTTCCTGGGTCCAGTTGGATGCCTTTTGATTGATGGCCGGGCAGTTGGGAGATGGAGATAGTTTCGCGACGCCCGAAAACCCGTTTTCCGCCTAACCGGCGATTATCTGCGGTTCATTGTACTTATTAGCAGAGTCAGACTCTGAGCTGGAGCCGGGGCCACCGTAAAGCAGCCAGATTGAAAGCTTGGAACTGACTTCCGCTCCCAGCCCTCTGCTTCTCAGTTTTCTGCTGAATTCGAGAGCTACACACTCCATCAAATTACGCGCTCTTGTCAAATTTCACGGCTGTTTGTTAATTTCGCACACAATTACAAGGTAGTTGAAAGAAAAAGTAACGAATTACCGAAGCACGTAAAATAATTACAGGCAAAGTTCTCGCAAATTGAACAATTATAAGCTATTCGAATCGTAAGTTAATGAAATTAAACGTTTAAAACGTGTAGAACTGGGGCAGCCTAGATAATTCTAGGCGTTACAATTGCCTAACAGTTTGTAGTTATTTTTAAGCAATTAATAATGGCTTTTTGGTGATAAAAAGTTGTTGTTATATACGCATAGCAATTATTTAATATCGTTCTGTTAATGAATTCCCCATAATTTCTCAGTTATACAAATCCCCAGTTGCTCTTTATTTTATTGATAAAACCATACATTTAAAGTGCAGAAAATTACACTGATTGTACAGTAAACATATAGAGACATATGTATGTACTCCAAATGTATGGCACACAAGGGAAGTGGAAGTGAGATAAGTTGCGGGTCGGCTTTGCGATAATTATAAAGAAATTCCAAGTAAAATGGCCTTGTATTTAAGTAGTTAAGCTTGGGCTCAACACTGCATTTGGCTGTGATTCATCTCATCGCTGATAAGCCACACTTTCGCTCTCGCCGAATAACAAAAGAATGGGTTAATCTCTTATCAATCCACTGTGCGCGTCACGCTGCGGTTCCCAATATGATAATGTATGCCATGAAAAGCTTTATAAATCCGTTTATTAGCTTTGACTTTGTTGTGATAAGAACCGCAGACAAAAAAAAAAAACAAAAAACTATACGACGTCGTTACCCAAAAAATATTCCATTACTCGCAGTCGTTGCGATTCTTTCCGGTTCTCAGGGGCAGGCCATGCCATTACCCCCCTGAAGGTAATTAAAGTTAATTATTTGAATACCGACCTCTAATTAACTGTCTAAATATATGGAATAATTTTTTAAATTAAATGTCTGTGTGATGCCTTCAAATCTTATCAAGAATGACTCTGACTTTCCCTTCCCCATATGAAGTATGTATTAAATGATTGGGTTTTTGGGGTGGCAGTAAATAAATTTTTTGATAAGTTAGCCTTTAAGTGGAAGTACGCAGAATTTAGTTAAGGCCTTATCACATATGGGAATTTGCCAAATAAAAACTGAGCAAAGTTTAAGCCATGAAAAAAACCCACTAAGACGTCAATTTAAAGTTTCCTTTAAAGATTTGATTGAAAATCATAATTAAAAAGAAGGGAAATTAACTTCGATAAGCCAAAGTTTACACACCCTTGCAGTTTAAAATTGAACTAAAGGATCGAATTGGAAATTTTTATTTTTATATTACTATTTATTCGACCCATCAGAGTTTAAAAACCTCATAACTAAACCAAAAATGCATTAATTTTAAATCGGAAAAATGTTCTGTGATAGTCTTTATTAGGTTAAAAAATCTACGTACCCAGTTTAATATTTAAAAAAATTAAAATTTTTATCAATTTAAAAAAATAATTTAACGATGTAACCCCTTATAAAATTTTGAAAAAATCGCGTTTTTTTTTTCTTTTCAATATGTCTAGAAAGATTCGCCTGTTGATGCTGATGAAGAATAGATATGATTTATAGTGTCGCAAATGACTCCTTCACTGCATTTTAAGCTTTTGAAGTACGCAGAATTACAATACCCAGCAAGGGTAAAAAATAAGCATATTTTTCTTACAGAAGCAACTAACTTTAAACAATGTAAACTTTAATCTTGGTTTCCCTTTCTGTCAGATAAGATTAGGTTAATTAACCACCAATTGCATCAAGACACGGCAATCAAAGTTCGATTTGCCAGATTTCCTTGACAAATATTCGGATATACAGACATATAACTTACCTTTCCAGTTAGACCAGTACCCCGATTAGATAATGCTAACTGCCTGATAATTATTAACTTATCGACAAACAATTAAGATAGCCCACGTACCAACGAATGACGCATGGGGGGATTTTCATTAACTCGGCTCAAGACAAGGCAAATCGAAAGTTGTTGGAAGAGTTGCGATTGGTATTATTGATTTCCATAACAAACTGTCGTCGCACCCAACTGGTTCTATTTTTATGGCAACCCAGGGGTAGGGTTAGCATTGCAGCTATATGTATATGTATATATAATATAAAATGCGACTCGAAGAAAGCCCTCTAACTCGAACAAACTCCCAAATGGTGATGGGATCGATCCGATAGCCAATCTTATCGTCCAGACCAGGCGAGTCAAGTGGCTCCGTCGCCGGTGCTGGTCAAGAGTTTCTCTGCTGCTGTTTGCTGTTTCGGTTCTGCTACCACTCCTCGCTTCGAAACCGGGTCAAGAATGCTGTTGACTTATTTGAGTCGCATGCAAAGTGGAGACAGAGCCCAGAGCGCCATGTCGTGACAGTTCTGGAAGCTGTACGTGCGTGTTCTCCGCTTTTGGGGAATTCATTAGCTCATGGAAACTTCCCAAGTGCTTCCCATTCGTCATTCTCATTACCATACAAATCGCTGGACATGTTTTTTGCCATAAAATCGTTAACTACTCAAATAGTTACTCGAAACCTTGAGACCATAAACTCTCGATAAGGTTTATTTAACTGCAAATAGAAACTAAAATATATTCCTAAAGTTTCAAGAGAATATATATCGCAATTCGTAATGCCAAAAAGTTTGTTATTTATTTGCATTCCGTCGCACGTAGAAAGTCCAAAGAAATGTTATCACAAAGTTTTTATAATATATAGAGCTGAATACTCTACCCCAATTTCAAAAGAATTTGCAACTTAAATTTGCATTCTAAATAAATTCTGAAAGTGTAAAAATGTCTTATCATTCAGTGTAGGTAACTCCACCTCACTCGTGCCCTCTTTTAATATTTACATTTATTATTTCCTCACTACCAAAGGTAAATGAAACAAAAAGGTTGTAACTCGACTACAAAATACCTGTGAAAACTAGATATATCCTCGAGACTAGTAGGCTTAAGCAATTAATAGAACTCCTCAAGATCTGGGAAATACCAAAACTTTCTCTATATGCAATCGTTTTGATAATAATGAGCGCAATCAACTTCCGCATGTCGCCATCTATGCATATCTATATTAGTGTGTATATGCCCTGGTATTCCCTGGGTGTACGTACGTACGTTGTGGGAGCACTTAACAAATCAGCACTGAATCAGTTGTTTACTTAAATTTCCGTCTGTTCTCATTGCAGTCGCACTGGAATCGTTGCAGGGCTTGCAAGCGTCGTCGTTACCATTATAATACTCAGCAACACAGAAGCCGAAAGCGAGAAAAGAAAACGAGAAATCAAAACGAACGCCGGGAGGAGGAGGCGGAGAAGGAGCAGAGTCCAGACTGAAACCGAGCACAGAGACTGACTGAGATTTTTGCACCATGGTGGTCGTGGGCAATCTACACAACACGCGCATGCTGCGTTCTTTTTAGTCCTAATCGTGGTGATCCTCACCATCTTCATCTACGCCTCGTACTCCACAACGGCCACCTTAACACAGAACCATGTGCATTCGGCGGCATCGCCGCCCCAGCAGCTGATCGGACCGAATCCCATGTTGGTCATCAATAACACAGACAACAAGGATTATGCCCAGGCAGCTGGAGTGGATAGTGCGCCCAAAGTCTCCAGTAGACAGGCGACGATGCAGCAACAGCAGCAGCAGCAGCAACAGATTCTACCGCTGGAGGTGCACAGAAAGCATACACAGCACCGGCTGCCCACCATCGATGAGGATGCCCTGCTCGATGGCGGCTCTGCCGGTGCCAGTCCCCAGTTAGGTGGCCCTGCCGAACAGACGCCCAATGCCATGGCGGAAGAGTTACTGCTAGAGGAGCAACAGTATGGCCAGAGTGTTGATGGCATCACAGGTGAGTGGATGACAGCAGCTATCACTCAATCATGCTAATAATTCATATCATTTGTAGGGAACATCAACAGTAGCAGCAATAACAACGTCAATAGCAATGGCACCGGAGACGTGTTGGTTCTCAGGCAATCAGCCGTTCCCGCCTTGCCGTCATCCCAACAACAACAACAGCAACAGCCGTCCCAGATCCAGGCAGGGCAATCCGATGCCGAGGTACTCATTCCTACGTCCAATTTGCAAAAGTTTATCGAGAATGCCGATAAGATACTAAAGAACATCACATCGAGCAGCAGCACAGGCAATGGAGTTGCCGCTGTCTCGGCAACCGGAAATGACCAGAACACGGGTAAGAGTTAGGTGCATTCCCCTTGCTATCAGCTGTCCATTCTCCCTTTTATTAATGTTATTTTAAAGATGAAACAACAAAGCCTTATTCATGTTTCAAATGTAAAGATTCGCCTATTAAGTTGCAGTCCAATTCGTGTGAATCCCTGTTCTTAACGATCCGTTTATGACGACTCATAAAACCCAAGGAAAAGTAAATATTTGTAAACGCTGACGTCGCGACCATTTGGTTTAGTCAATGGCAATGGCAATGGGCCCCACCAGCTATATATCGCGTTTCATTAGGGAAGTGCTGTAAACAATCGCCAGTCGTTGTCTTTCCGTCCTATTGGGTTACAGCGCCCAACGGCTGGCTGTCTATGGGGACTAATTAGAATTGGATTACCCCCTTTTATTTGCAATTCCATTTACGTGACACAGGAAGCTCTAAACTCTTGGCTTTCTCTTCTCGTTCTAGACAAAGGCATTCAGCAGCAACCAGAGGCGGCACAACCCAATACGGCAGAAGTCTCCGAGGGGGAGCAGCCGTCGGAATCCAAGGTGATCCAGGAGATCAAGGAGGCGAAAAAAGAAGCAGATGCTGCACCAGCAAAGTCCGTCAAGCCATCTGTGCCCATTGCACGGACGACAAAGGGCAGGGTAGCAGCTTCCAAGGAGTCAAATGCTCCGGTGGATCCCTCCAAGGGCGTTATCGCCGAGAAACTGTACGAGCAGGGACATCTGGATGATGAAATCGACGCGGATAGAATATGCCCCAAGGGTGGAGAGTTCATCAAACTAATGGTTCTCATTAGCTCGGCAATGTCGCACGATGCGGCCAGGATGTCCATTCGGCAGACATGGATGCATTACGGCAGCAGGCGGGATGTGGGCATGGCCTTCGTCCTAGGCCGTGGCACAAACGAAACGCTGAACAAGGCCCTCACCCAGGAGAACTTTATTTACGGGGATCTGATACGTGGCAACTTCATAGACTCGTACAATAACCTAACCCTCAAGACGATCTCGACGCTGGAGTGGGCTGACCTGCACTGCCCGAAGGCCAAGTATGTACTCAAAACGGACGACGACATGTTCATCAATGTGCCTAAGCTGCTGGCCTTCCTTGACAAGCACAAGGACAAGCGAACCATTTACGGTCGCCTGGCCAAGAAGTGGAAGCCCATCCGCAACAAGAAGTCCAAGTACTACGTGTCCGTAGACCAGTTTGCGGCTGGTGTCTTTCCATCGTTCACCACTGGCCCGGCCTACGTCCTCACCGGCGATATTGTACACGAGCTGTACGTGAGATCGCTGAAGACGGTGTATCTGAAGCTGGAGGACGTATTTACCACGGGTATTGTGGCCAAGAGCTTAGACATCAAGCGGGTGCAGGCCAACGAGTTCGTCAACCGACGCATTTCGTTCAATCCGTGCAACATCCGCAACGCGATCAGCGTGCACATGATCAAGTCCAACGAACAGTTCGATCTGTGGAAGAAGCTGCTGGACCAGACCACCAAGTGTAAATAGTATTTTAAGTTTAGGGTTTAGAGGATCGACAGCGAAGGAAGGTGGTACGAATAGAGAATGATTAGCAAAGGCAGCTATTATAGAATAATAGAGTTAGCATTAGTCACTAAGTCCTAGGAATACTTATCACAAATTACGCTGTCCGTGATCCCAGCATTCCGCCTAAGTGCTTGCGATCCGACAGCGCATAATTTTAAAAACGATTTGTAGTTTAATTTTAGCATTCTGAATGCCATTATTTAACTGATAATTACTGAGCGATAACTGTGGTTACATCTTAAACACTAAATACATGAATGTATATCAAGAGAAAACCGAAAATAATGATTTTCTGTCTATTATTTTTTTTCCAGATGAATCATTGTACTAAATCAAGTTTAAGATAGGCTATCTGAATTTGCAATTCGTTTGAAATTCTGCTAACCATGGAACACCAACAGATTGCTGGAATAACACACCTGACATCAATATTTTATTACCAAACATATATCAATAGTTTATTTATTGCACTTATCTCGCCAAAACCAGTTAGACAAATTTAAGACTTAAGCTTTCATTCCCTTGAGAGCTTACTTTAATGGTTAAAGTTCTTCTCTGACTCTTTTACTGCGTAATTATTAAAAGATCGGCACGAGATAGGACTGAGTGAGTGAGTTCAGGGCCCCGACTTATCGGTTATTCCTTGAGAGACTCTTCATGGGAATCTTTGCTGAATGTGTACAGGTGGATAGCACAAATTAATTGTTATTATTTGACACCTACTACTTGTAGATGTATCTTATGAGAAACGTTCTAGTTCGTATGTTTAAAGCTCAGCTGAATTTGTTTATGGTTATTACATTTGTGGTATGCCAAGAATAATTGAATATGTATTATTAATTAGAAATCTGATAAATTTACTCTTAGTTGCCATAACTTTATTTATTTTGTTTCATAAAACTAAATGATGCTCTAGTTCCAAAGAACTTTGTGTCCTAATAAGATTAGATAGATCATTGTTTGATTGTTCAATTAAGTGACTTCTTACAACGACGGTGAGTAAACAAGACTAAGCACTTGTGTTGCTACTGCTTGTTAGCCGGTTAACAAGTTTGATGACACGCAAGTGATAACAATTAATTGCTTCCCGTCTTTTTAGATAAGTGAAGCTAACCGATACACTCGATGGCGTAAAGAGTTTCCACCAGCAAAAGATAAGACCATTCTTGGGAACACCAGTTTGATGTTTGATGTATGGCAAAACATTTTGAATACGGAGATGAACAGTAATCCATCGAAACTAATTTTACTTTTCAAAGTATGACACTTTTTTATTTTAATTTAAAAATTAAAATTCAACACAGTATAAAGGTTTGGGTCGGCACTAAGCCTCTAGTAAAGTTCACAACCAGTTAGTTTTTTCATGAACTTCAACCAAACATTATTAAATATTTTTGAATGTGTATAATATTATATTATACATATTACTCCATATATTATATAGATTATAGATAAACTAGTTTCAAAAACGTAGAAAAATTAAAAATAAACCAATAAATCTGTAAAAGTGTAAGATGTAAAATTTTCAATAACAGGAAGCTTTTTCAAACCATTGGTACCATCGATAATATGAAAAAGTATCGCAACATCGATAGTTGGGCAAACAAAATATCACGATATAAATATATCAGTTTGAGAAAAATATCGATATATTGATATATTTTCAACAACCCAAAAAACAAGACGCGAAAATGTTGTAAACACAACGGTGAGTTAATATTAAATCAAGGCCTAATAAGAACTTCGATTTAAGTGTATTATTATGGGCTATAAACCGTGGCAAAAACGCTATTTTATGTGCCTCAAGCTATGCAGGTACAGCTGTTCGAAGTGCTAAATAAGTGTATGAGTGTGTGTGTGTAGCATTAACGCCTGCCTTCTATGGGCCACAAAGGGCGAACGAAAAAAGTAACTAAAAGTATCAGTGGCCACCTAATCCCCGTTCGTGCTCTATTTGGTTATTCGTTACGTTGGCGGAGCTTGGGCAATGGTTTAAAATCAGACGCCTTAGCAACATCTTGCTTCCTTGCAACCTACTCACACACACAGACGGACTTGGATACACGGATATACAGATGCACACTTGAGATCCAAGGTGAAGGAGAGGCGCAAAGGTGTTGAATGAATTATGAGCGTAGGCGGAAAGCTAAATTTTGTGAATGATTCTTCTAGAAGTGCAAAGGCTTTGGCAAAAAAATCTCCGCGTAAGCGAACTGTTCTAATTTGTATTTTTGTTCCCGTCTCATTAGCGGCTTTTCGGACGTCAGCAGGCATTGACATACGGATATATGTGTGTGTGTGCTAGTGTGTGTACCATTAAATCCCCAGTTAAACGGTTGTTTTTCGTCCCGCTTTGAGCTCGTCTTCTATGACAGATTATGCAACTCACTCTCTAGTCATCTCCCTCTGTCGCTCTCCATTCTTTGGCTTAATGAAAACGACATTTAAATGAATTGTTTGCCCAATATAAAAAGAATCCCGACTAGCCAGCATCCGGCCAATAAATAGTTCGTTTAAATGCGCCATTAGCTGATAAGGTTTTGTTGTCGGTTAACGCTTTTGCCTAAAAATTCGGCTCTGCTTTGACGCTAATCTAATTATTGGTCTTACAATATTCGTGGCAGTTTTTTCGCCACATTTTTTGCGCTAGTGTTAACGTACGCAGGTCTGTGTGTGTTCGAAGCTATTTTTGTATAGCTTTTTCATTATTTTTTTGCATTTGTTTTGACCCACCAGCAGCGGCAGCAGTTTTGGCCAGATTTCAGTCGCAAAATCGCACAGACTTGTGAAATTTATACAAATAAACTCTCGAATGTGGAGTGTTGGGCTCAAATAGTTGTTATCAACGACAATATTGACTCTGAATTAGCCGCCTTAGGACCTATGATTTATGTGATTTTTTTCTTTCTATTTCCCTGCCCATCCGTCTCGATCAGTTTTTTGCGACGAGCTCGTTGGGGCTTATCAGTCTCTGCAGGCTTTTTATGGGTTCGTTGGCTCTTATCAGTCTTCCACCTATTGAAAATGCATATATGTAGTATTAAATGGAATATAAAAAGCTTTACGCCTTCTATATACACAGTATAGCATCGTTCAGTCCCCTCATCGCTAAATGTACAGAAAATATTATACAATATAGATATTTCTTTTATAGTTTTGTCGCCTTTCTTCTCATTGAGTAATCTTTGGGAACAGAATTAAACCCTGAACGTAATTGCTTTGTTGATGCAGGTTGTGGTTGGGCGGCAATTTATTAGATATTTTTATACCCTTGCCAGAGTCTTATAATTTCTGTCATAAATTTGCAACGCAGTGAAGGAGTAATTTCCGGTTGTTATTATCTATAGTGATAGTGATAGTTAAGTATAGTGATTGCCTTACTTATGATAGATTTTATATTCAAACCAATGATCCTGCAAGGGTATACAAACTTCGACTTCTAGAAGATAGCATGCTTTCTTGTTGTGTTTATAAACAAATGCGAGAGTCGGTCGCTAAAAGGGAAATTAATATATATGATAAATTTATAGGGGAAAGCGTTGAGGAACATTCAAAATAAATATAATTACGCAAGGTGGCAGATCTCGAGAAAACAGTGATAACTCAATCAAAGGAGCAGTTTCTTAACAATGTTCTACATACAATTAATAAATATTATTTTTCATATATAGTTTTACAGAATTTTTTAAATAAGATAAGTTTTCTTGTTTTCAAATTAAGGTAAACCCGTAAAAGTTTAACAATTCAATCCCCCATATTAGTTTTGTGGTTTCTATAGACAGCTAATTTTCAAAGAAAATTACAGTTTTAATATAACAAAACAGAGGTTTAATTTTTAATGAATTTTTCACCCCTTGATTTTCTGTCACCAATTTGACAAAAAGCTTTAATAATAATAATAATATCAGTGCCTACCCAAAAACTTTAGGGTAAGTTTAAAATCCCATGTCTTCAAGTGGAAAAGCTTCAACTTGCGTGCAGATAGAGAATAGAAGATGGAGGGACTGAACTTAACTATGTAATTCCCGCAGACAGACACTATTGTAATGCATTATTCAAGGGAATTATACATTCTATCTTTTCTCTAGTGCCACCACACACATTTTGTGTCTCACAGAAATGCGTCGCCATTTGGACACGCAACCGGACTCGGCCTGAGTTAGCTCCTCATCCTGTTCAGCCCACCGGGTTTATTTATAATATTTACCTAACATATTGATTTTGGTCTTTTCGTTCTTTTCCCTTAATCAAATGAGAGTTGCGACTTGTTTTGTTGGAGACTTCCAAGGGATGATGGTCGCTGCCGAATCAATAATGTCCAAAAAAACAAAGGTGGACTAATTTCAGTTTGCTTTGTCACCGAAAGTTGGCCGAATGTAAAGGCAGGAAATCAACGATTACAGCTATAGTTTGTTTATTGAATTTAGCTCTTAGTTAATGGGTAATGTTATGACCAATAATGACTTCCCCTTTTTCTGTAAACATGTTTACTACTTAGATAAGTTTCTGTTATGTAAAGAAATAGTTTAAAGTTCAATGGGGAAGACTGCAATATACTATTACATTTCATACTTTAAGGAATCTATTTAAATAGATATAAAAAACATTCCCATTCTAATAACTATTTCTATTATCCTACAGGTGTACTATGCGACCATATAAATATCTGAGATTACATACCGAAAAATGGAAGCAATATCGAAGATTTTCCTGATATTGTCTGCCTTGCTATTCGTCGTGGTCAATGCAGCAGTGGCCCTCAACAGTGCCGACAGCTGCCAGGCCACCTACAGTAGCGCGGAGGCTTTGCTGGCCCATCCCGCGCGACCACATCATCCGCAGATAAGACCCAGGCAGAGGACATGGCAGGAGCACGAGTTCTCCCTGCTGGGTTACAAGTTCCACTTGCCGTTTGTGGGGCATGCAGTCGATGCGGATTTAGATGATAGTGACAGTGACGAGGGTCTGTGGCTGGACGACCTAAATGACGGAGCGGAGAGCAGGGAGGATGTGGAGGAGTACGAGCTGCATTCAGGGAATCTGCCGGTGGATCCCTCGGCTAACGTGTTCAAGCTGAGCTGCGAGCATGTGGGCGTTGGACATGTAAACCAGGAGCTGATCTCCCTAAGGAGTGCGCACATCAACTACCACCAGCTGAAACTAGACCACGTGCCAGCGGATCTCGGCGTTTCCCTCCATCTGCCGCAGTTCGAGAGCGTACATGAGTTCTCTTGGCTAGAGAGCAACCTAGCAGATGCAGCGCTTGGAGAGCTCTTTTCCCGTCAAACGCGGTGCTTTGAGAACATGGAGCACCTCGACCTCGGCGAGAATCGTCTGGAGTGCCTCAACTGGGCCGTTCCCCAGGCCATGCGCAGCCTAAAAGTACTTAAGATGAGCGGCAACCGACTGGCCAACTGTAGTCTGATCAACCTGCAGCACATGGACAAACTGCAAGAGCTGCACATGGACAGAAATGGCCTGACTGCCTTGCCCCAGCGCTTCCTTGGCTCCCTGGGCGAACTGCGCCTTCTGAATCTCAGTCAGAATATGCTGGCGGAGCTTCCACGGGACATCTTTGGCGGAGCATTGAAGCTGGAACGCCTTTATCTCGCTGGAAATAAGCTAAGCGTGGTGCCCTTCCAGCTGTTCCAGACAGCACGAGACCTCAAGGTGTTAGATCTCAGCGACAACCGCCTGCTCTCCTTCCCGGATAATTTCTTTGCCCGCAACACGCAGCTCCGGCAGCTGCATCTGCAGCGCAATCAGCTAAAGTCGATCGGCAAACACAGCCTTTACAATCTGCGCGAGCTGCAGCAGCTGGATCTCAGTCAGAACTCACTGACCATTATCGATCGCAAGGCTTTTGAGTCGCTGAGCCAGCTGCTGTCGCTGAATGTGTCCAGCAACAACCTGACCGGACTGTCCTCCATCATCTTCCAGCATCTGCATGCCCTCAAGCAGTTGGATCTCAGCCGGAACCCGTTTAAACAGCTGCCCAGCGGTCTCTTCCAGATGCAGCGGTCCTTGGTGCTTTTGCGCATCGATGAGACGCCCATTGAGCAGTTCTCCAACTGGATATCGCGTTTCGATGAGTCGCTGGTGGATCCAAATGTACTCCATCGCCTACGTTACCTCTCCCTGCAGCAGAATCCGCGGCTGACGCAGCTGCCGGCAACTCTGTTCACCAATGCTCGGAACCTTAAGGAGCTACTGCTGGCTGAAAATGGATTACTACAGCTGCCAACACAGATATCTGGGCTGTCGCGGCTGCAACGGCTCAGTGTGCGGGGAAACCGCCTGGGATCGCTGCCCGAGGGCCTGAAGGAGCTCCGGCAGCTGCACTACCTCAACATACTGGGCAACGAGTACCAGTGTGACTGCAGCATGTACTGGCTGTCTGCTTGGCTGGTCAACGGCAGCACCAGTCTGCGACGTCAGCCCCACTCACAGGCGGAGGGCAATAGTCCAAATCCTAGCCAAACACCCCTGGACTCGTACGAGAGCATCGACGACCAGATCGAGGCGTTGAAGTGCCAATATGGCTATCCGGGTGACATGCTGCGCGTCCTGAGCAACCTCAACTGCAGTGTGCCCTCGGTGGTGCAGTTCTCGGAGCCAAAGATGCACAAGCTTCTCTCAACCGCCAAACTGGAGTGCCAGATCTCCGGTAGTCCCGTGCCAGACATTATTTGGGTAAGTGTTTCGTAATTCATGCAGGCGTCTATTCATAACAAACATTAATGATTATAATGAATTACTAAGAAAGTTGGGTTCTTTTTAAAGGGAGTAAACATTAACAATTAATGAATTTAAGACATCACTAACAATTTTATATCTTCTCAGGTTACTCCCCGCAACAAGATTCTGCGACACCATGCTGATCCAGACAAGCGCCCCATTATCATTGATAGCAAGGAGGATGCCCATCAACCACCAAGTGCGCAGGAGTTGGCCGCTTTAATGGATGAGAGTTACATTCAGTCGCTAAACCTGACCCGTCAGCAGAGTCTGGTGGGTCAGCGTGTTGTACTCGTGGAGAATGGATCGCTGTTGGTGCACAATATCTCCAGAATAGACAGCGGCCTGTACACCTGCTATGCCTTCAATGTGATGGGCAAAGCATCGGCAGGATTAAGGTATGTTTTCAGTATTTTTATTTCCTTGCAGGGTTTTATAATTTTAGTCAGAAGCTTAAAACGCAGTAAAGGAATCATTTCCGACCCTATATTCTTGATCAGAAACAAAAGGCGAATCTTTCTAGGCATGTAGGAAAAATTATACATCTTTGGCAAAAAATTTCAATTTTATATATTTTATTTATTTTTTTAATTATTGCCCTAATGAGAACTAGCATAGGATAGGTTTCCGCATTGAAATTAATGCATTTTTGGCTTAGTTATGCGATTTTTAAAATTTGATTTATTAATAAAATTGTCATATAAAATATAGATAACAAGAAAGAAAGCTAACTTCGGCACGCCGAAGTTTATATACCCTTGCAGATATAACTTCTATGACTTGGAATCCCAACAATATATATTATATTTATTTGTGTTAAAAAAAAATGAAGTAATACCTGCTTTCATTTCATTCACCTTTATGTATTATAATTGCACTTTTACAGTCACAGATGTGAATTTTTCTCCACATCTAACGATCGTTTGTATGGCACCTATATGATATAGTTGTCCGATTTTCATAAAATTTTACACATAATTTAATACCGATATAAAATGGCTACACCTCAAATTTGATGAAAACTGAAACTGAAACTGAAAAACTGAAAATGTTATAATTTTTAATTGTCTTAATTTCTCGATCGTTCCTATGGGAGCTATATGATATAGTAGTCCGATTTTCATAAAATTTTACACAAAATTGTAGAGTACAGTAAAATGGCTATATCTCAAATTTGATCAAATTCTGTTGAAAACTGAAAATGTTATCATTTTTTTTGTAAAAATTTTCCGATCATTCCTATGGCAGCTATATGATATAGTCGTCCGATCCGGCCCGTTCCGACATATATACGAATGAGAGTATATAGAAGACTAACTGCAAAGTTTCATTCAGATAGCTTCGAAACTGAGAGACGGACAGACGGACAGAAGGACAGACGGACAGACGGACAGACGGACATGGCTAGATCGACTCGGCTGTTGATCCTGATCAAGATCATACTTTATATGGTCGGAGGTGCCTCTTTCACTGCGTTGCAAACTTCTGACTGAAATTATAATACCCTGCAAGGGTATAAATATCGACTCAAAGAATGGTTTTACAAGTTTAGTCAGACGCTTATAAAACTGTGAAGGAGTCATTTCCGACCACATAAATCATATATATTCTTGATAAGCATCAACAGCTGAATCGATCTAACTATCTCCGACTGAAAACAAATTTTGGAAAATTTTTTCAATTTTTGCAAAAAACGATAAGGGGTTACATCATTAAAATTGTCAAAAATCAACAAAAATTTGCATTTTTATTTGAGTATGCAGTTTTATTGCCCTAATAAAAACTAGCATAGAAAAGGTTTCCGAATTGAAATTAATGCGTTTTTGGCTAGTTATGCTATTTTTAAAATTCGATTTATTGACAAAATTGTCCTATAAAATGTAGATAAATATAGTCTCAAAAAATGGTTTTACAAGTTTAGTCAGTAGCTTGTAGAACTGTGAAGGACTCATTTCCAAGTGAATTGAGTATGCAGTTTTATTGCCTTAATAAAAACTAGGATTGGAAATTAATGCATTTTTGGCCTAGTTATGCGATTTTTAAAATTTGATTTATTGACAAAATTGTCTATAAAATGTAGATAAATATAGTCTCAAAAAATGGTTTACAAGTTTAGTCAGTAGCTTGTAGAACTGTGAAGGACTCATTTCCAAGTAAATTGAGTATGCAGTTTTATTTCCATAATAAGTAGTAGCATTGGAATGGTTTCTGAGTTAAAATAATGCATTTTTGGCTTATTTATGAATTTTTTAAATTTAATTTATTGACAAAATTGTCCTATAAAATAAATACCGACTAAATGAATGTTATAAGCTGAATAGATTTTTGGCTTAGTTATGATTTTTAAAATTCGATTTATTGACAAAATTGTCCTATAAAATGTAGATAAATATAGTCTCAAAAAATGGTTTTACAAGTTTAGTCAGTAGCTTGTAGAACTGTGAAGGACTCATTTCCAAGTAAATTGAGTATGCAGTTTTATTGCCTTAATAAAAACTAGGATTGGAAAGGTTTCCGATTTGAAATTAATGCATTTTTGGCATAGTTATGAATTTTCTAAAATTTGAATTATTGACAAAATTGTCCTATAAAATGTAGATAAATATAGACTCAAAAAATGGTTTTACAAGTTTAGTCAGTAGCTTGTAGAACTGTGAAGGACTCATTTCCAAGTAAATTGAGTATGCAGTTTTATTGCCTTAATAAAAACTAGGATTGGAAAGGTTTCCGATTTGAAATTAATGCATTTTTGGCATAGTTATGAATTTTCTAAAATTTGAATTATTGACAAAATTGTCCTATAAAATAAATACCGACTAAATGAATGGTATTATAAGTTTAGTCAGAAGCTTATAAAACTGTGAAGGAGTCATTTCCGACCACATAAATCATATATATTCTTGATCAGCATCAACAGCTGAATCGATCTAACTATCTCCGACTGAAAACAAATTTTGGAAATTTTTTCAATTTTTGCAAAAAACGATAAGGGGTTACATCATTAAAATTGTCAAAAATCCACAAAAATTTGCATATTTAATTGCGTATGCAGTTTTATTGCCCTAATAAAAACTGGCATAGGAAAGGTTTCCGAATTGAAATGAATTCATTTTTGGCTTAGTTATGCGATTTTTAAAATTTGATTTATTGACAAAAGTGTCCTATAAAATGTAGATAAATATGGACTCAAAAATGGTTTTACAAGTTTAGTCAGTAGCTTGTAGAACTGTGAAGGACTCATTTCCAAGTAAATTGAGTATGCAGTTTTATTGCCTTAATAAAAACTAGGATTGGAAAGGTTTCCGCATTGAAATTAATGCATTTTTGGCTTAGTTATGCTATTTTTAAAATTCGATTTATTGACAAAATTGTCCTATAAAATGTAGATAAATATAGTCTCAAAAAATGGTTTTACAAGTTTAGTCAGTAGCTTGTAGAACTGTGAAGGACTCATTTCCAAGTAAATTGAGTATGCAGTTTTATTGCCTTAATAAAAACTAGGATTGGAAAGGTTTCCGATTTGAAATTAATGCATTTTTGGCATAGTTATGAATTTTCTAAAATTTGAATTATTGACAAAATTGTCCTATAAAATGTAGATAAATATAGACTCAAAAAATGGTTTTACAAGTTTAGTCAGTAGCTTGTAGAACTGTGAAGGACTCATTTCCAAGTAAATTGAGTATGCAGTTTTATTGCCTTAATAAAAACTAGGATTGGAAAGGTTTCCGATTTGAAATTAATGCATTTTTGGCATAGTTATGATTTTCTAAAATTTGAATTATTGACAAAATTGTCCTATAAAATGTAGATAAATATAGACTCAAAAATGGTTTACAAGTTTAGTCAGTAGCTTGTAGAACTGTGAAGGACTCATTTCCAAGTAAATTGAGTATGCAGTTTTATTGCCTTAATAAAAACTAGGATTGGAAAGGTTTCCGATTTGAATTAATGCATTTTTGGCATAGTTATGAATTTTCTAAAATTTGAATTATTGACAAAATTGTCCTATAAAATAAATACCGACTAAATGAATGGTATTATAAGTTTAGTCAGAAGCTTATAAAACTGTGAAGGAGTCATTTCCGACCACATAAATCATATATATTCTTGATAAGCATCAACAGCTGAATCGATCTAACTATCTCCGACTGAAAACAAATTTTGGAAATTTTTTCAATTTTTGCAAAAAACGATAAGGGGTTACATCATTAAAATTGTCAAAAATCCACAAAAATTTGCATATTTAATTGCGTATGCAGTTTTATTGCCCTAATAAAAACTGGCATAGGAAGTTTCCGAATTGAAATGAATTCATTTTTGGCTTAGTTATGCGATTTTTAAAATTTGATTTATTGACAAAAGTGTCCTATAAAATGTAGATAAATATGGACTCAAAAAATGGTTTACAAGTTTAGTCAGTAGCTTGTAGAACTGTGAAGGACTCATTTCCAAGTAAATTGAGTATGCAGTTTTATTGCCTTAATAAAACTAGGATTGGAAGGTTTCCGCATTGAAATTAATGCATTTTTGGCTTAGTTATGCTATTTTTAAATTCGATTTATTGACAAAATTGTCCTATAAAATAGATAAATATAGTCTCAAAAATGGTTTACAAGTTAGTCAGTAGCTTGTAGAACTGTGAAGGACTCATTTCCAAGTAAATTGAGTATGCATTTTATTGCCTTAATAAAACTAGGATTGGAAAGTTCCGATTTGAAATTAATGCATTTTTGGCATAGTTATGAATTTTCTAAAATTTGAATTATTGACAAAATTGTCCTATAAAATGTAGATAAATATAGACTCAAAAAATGGTTTTACAAGTTTAGTCAGTAGCTTGTAGAACTGTGAAGGACTCATTTCCAAGTAAATTGAGTATGCAGTTTTATTGCCTTAATAAAAACTAGGATTGGAAAGGTTTCCGATTTGAAATTAATGCATTTTTGGCATAGTTATGAATTTTCTAAAATTTGAATTATTGACAAAATTGTCCTATAAAATAAATACCGACTAAATGAATGGTATTATAAGTTTACTCAGAAGCTTATAAAACTGTGAAGGAGTCATTTCCGACCACATAAATCATATATATTCTTGATCAGCATCAACAGCTGAATCGATCTAACTAACTCCGGTTGAAAACAAATTTTGGAAATTTTTTTCAATTTTTGCAAAAGACGATAAGGGGTTACATCATTAAAATTGTCAAAAATCGACAAAAATTTGCATAATTAATTGAGTATGCAGTTTTATTGCCTTAATAAAAACTAGGATTGGAAATTAATGCATTTTTGGCCTAGTTATGCGATTTTTAAAATTTGATTTATTGACAAAATTGTCCTATAAAATGTAGATAAATATAGACTCAAAAAATGGGTTTACAAGTTTAGTCAGTAGCTTGTAGAACTGTGAAGGACTCATTTCCAAGTAAATTGAGTATGCAGTTTTATTTCCATAATAAGTAGTAGCATTGGAATGGTTTCTGAGTTAAAATAATGCATTTTTGGCTTATTTATGAATTTTTTAAATTTAATTTATTGACAAAATTGTCCTATAAAATAAATACCGACTAAATGAATGGTATTATAAGGTTAGTTATAAGCTTATAAAACTGTGAAGTAGTCATTTCCGACCCCATAAATCATATATATTCTTGATCAGCATCAACAGCTGAATATATCTAACTAAAATTAATACATTTTTGGCTTATTTATGAATTTTTTTAAATTTAATTTATTGACAAAATTTTCCTATAAAATAAATACCGACTAAATGAATGCTATTATAAGTTAAGTTATAAGCTTATAAAACTGTGAAGTAGTCATTTCCGACCCCATAAAGCATATATATTCTTGATCTGCATCAACGCGAATCTTTCATTAAGAATTAATCCAATTTGTTCAAATGATTGTTAGCAGCCTCTCTTGATTGTGTTATTTTTGACTAAGAAGTAATTTATGCTTTTTACAGACTGTACATCGATCCGATTGTATTCTACCGGGTAAAGATTGGCAGCATACTGTTTGGCACTGCCCTGGCCACCGCCTTCCTGCTGCTCACGCTGATGGTTCAGGGCTTGAGGAGCTGCCTGTCCCGTGGGGCATCTGCGACCGGTTCTACTGCTGCGCTAATCGTAACAAGAAGTCACCGCGGCCACGCAAATCTACGCCATGCTGGACAGCATCGAGACTTACAAGAGCCAGCAGCTGGAGCGACTGCGCGAGAATTACACCCAGCAAGTGCACCGCATCCGCGAGAACTGTGTGCAGCAGGTGGAGTGGATACAGAGCAGCTACACCACCCAGGCCAAGCACATACGCGAGTTCCGCGACATGGGATCGAACCACCTGACGGCGCTGAAGGATCAGTACTACGACCAGGTGAAGAAGGTGCGTGACTACTCCACCGGCCAGCTGAGCTGGGTAAGGGAGAACTACGTCTTCCAGCGGAATAAGATCCGGAAATTTAGTGCGCACCAAGTGCTGCGCCTCCGGGAGGGCTACAAGTACCAACAGCAAACACTGAACAAGGTGCTGGAAAACCTGCCCAGTTTCTATTTTGAAAATTGCCGCGGACGTTGCGAAGAGGACATTGCCGAGGGTAAGTATTTCCGTTTCTCCAGAGGCTCTTAATAATGTAATACCATTTCCTCGACAGACATAGACTGTTATTTCAAAGGACAAATGGACTTTGCTGGCTCTAAGGAGCTAAACATACAGAAAATAAGGGACGCCTATCTGCCAATTACTCGGCCAGCAAGGCATCAATTTACTACACCCCGCCAGAGGACGATCTGCTGCACTGCTCCCATTTAAATCTGCAGACCTCGCCCATTCACATTAACTACATCGACGAGAATCTCGACCAGCAGAAGCAGCTGGAGCGAGACTTCAAGATGGAACCGCAGCTGCTGCTCTACAATACCCCGATGCTCTATCTGAATCCCGAGGGAGCAAGCAGTAGTGGCCAGGCGGCGGCCATGGCGGCAGCCATCGCTTTGGCGCAGAGCATTAGCGTGGAGGATAACAACCAAGCACAGGAGCTGCAGCCGTGAGGGAGTGCAGCGACCACTTGGACCTGCCTGAACTGAAGGACTCGAACGACGTGAAAAACTCAAAATCGTGCCCGGCCATTTATAAGGTTTCCAAACAGCACGACGGCAGCACGGTTCACGAGCTACAGAAAGAGGGCGAGGAGCCCTACCAAATGCTGCGCCTGAATCCTGTAGAGACCACGTCGACGCCGACGCAGAGGAGGACAGAGAAGCTGAACATTGTCCTTGATGAGTGTGGCAAGGCGTCATTGTGCAAGACGGAGGAGCAGACATCCAATGGAACGGACAGCGGAACTCCCCCGTCGGTATCCAGTGGCGATTCCAATAGTTCGGATGCCAGTTGCGGCGATGTGTGCCAAGCGGCCATCCATAAGCAGTTCCCTCTCCCATCCTCTCCTGAGGCAGATCCTGCCAGCACCTAGAGATTTTTTTTATAATTTTAAATTAGTAATTGAAATAACGAAAAAATATACAAATTGTAAAGAAAATGTAACACACATCTGCTAAAGAACTTAAAGTTAATGATTACAGTTTACGATTTACGGTAAGGCAGCAAACAATAATTACCATATAGAGTTAATTAGCGAAACAAATGAATTGAAATGCTGAACACACATTCGAGAATATCGGAGCAAGTTATACGAACAGAGCAGAATATCCAAATTCAAAAAGGAATATAAAATCGAGGTTAAAACACTCACTCTCCTGGAATCTATCTATCGCTAAGGTATCATCATGTCAATAATACTTGAAAAGAGCCCCCATTTGTGATTTCATTCTACATTTACGAGTATAGAGCATCAAACAAAACTATAAAAGGGACGAGAGCAGGGCGTATTTTAAAGTGAAACCGACAAATTTTAATCAAAACCTGTATGAAAATTATAAAAACAAAATAAAATGTTTACTATAAAGGACTAAATGTATTTTTTATTATTTATTTGACTCTTCAACAGTAAAAGCAACAGAAACGATAGAAAACTGGCCAGAAGAGAACCCGCTCTAGGGCTCGGGACACTCGGGCTGCTTAAGGATCTCAATGGCGCACGGATTGGCATCGATCTTGCATACCTCGCTTCGGTCTCCACTTCGCTGAGGTCGTACTCGCACTCGCATGGGAAGCACTCCATTTCGCCACCCTCCTCGCCCTCGGCCTCCTCTCCTTCGCCGTACCAACTAATCTTCTCCTCGCTTTCAGCACTCGGCATAGTGGACAAGGAGCAGACGGATAGCTCGGAATCGGAAATAGCCAGCGGCACCGGCTCTTGGGGCAGCACCGCAAAGTCGTAAATGGCAATATCCTGCGCGAACCATAGAGTTGGCGCCATGGGTGTCTCCAAATCGTTGCCATCCTCATCCTCATCATATCGCTCATATGTTTCCTCATTGTCCCGTCATCGCCGATTGCCTTAAAGTTATAGTTAGCCGGCAGGAAGTAGCCCACCAGCATATACCGATTATTGAAGCTAAAGACGGCAGGTCCACTCGGATATAGGGTATCCCAGATTCCATGGAGGACGGTGCACTTGTCATCATTGCCGATATACAACTCGAAGGGTCCCATACGTATGTTATGTTCCAGGTGGACTTCAATCTAACGGACATCAGCAGGCATCGGGGCTGCTCTTAAAGTATAAATGCCACACCATGACGCTGGCCTTTGTGCCAGTCGCCGGAGTAGGTGTCCCCATTGACATAGTTGTACCGGCCCTTGCCATGCTTTAGATGCTTGCGCCAGTTGCCCTCGTACACGGATCCATCCGGATAGATAAAGATGCCTCGACCACAGCGCTTTCCGCATCGATACTGTCCGTAGTATCGTGATCCGTCCTTGAACACATACAGCCCAATTCCGTGTCGCCTTCCTTTCCGGTAGTTTCCATCGTACTGGTCCCCATTTGGTAGAATAGCCCAGCCTCTGCCATGCCTCTGGCCCATCCCGTTGCGGCCACCTATATAGAGCTGGGAAATGGAAAAGGGTGAGAAAAATAAATTTAACTAAGGATTTTGAACGGTTTTGTTGAATACTTAAGGAACTTACGCCTATGTTGGGCCCCAAGTCCTCCTCCTCTTCTGGCGCCGACAGCTCCTCGTCTGAAATCTCGGAATTGCTCATTGTGATTTTGAGTTTTGAATTGATTTAGGGATCTTGTTTTTATTGACGAGAGAGAAATATAGATTTTTACTTAAAACTTACTTTCGGGAACTATTGTGTGGATCTGTTTGTATATGGAGTTCACTTAGCCAAGGCTTACTACAATAAATATCAGAATCAATATCGAATAGAGCTGATCCTGCAACACCAGCTACGTTTCCGCATAGAAATAGTTTGCCAGTGGATATCGAATGGCCAGGGCAATCAGCGTGCACAACACCTGGAAACCCATCAGCATCTGTGTGACCACGCGCTCATGGACCGGCCCAAACATGACCAGCACAAAGTTAATGAGGGTAAGTTATTGGTCCGCACAAGACCGTCTGCTTTGGTATGCCAGCTAATTAGCCGCAGCTTCCGCAGCACCGTGACCATTAGACGGCCCGGAGCATTGAGATCCTCCAACTTAAACTCCGTAGTGCTAATGTGCAGCAGGTCCGTCTTGTTGTCGTACTTGGGCAGTCGGTGACGGGGGCAGGGCACAAAGTGGAACAGCTGCGGGGTGGAATAAAGGAAGTTCAGGATCTGCGGCAGGAAAAACAGCAGCAGGGTCTTGCTGAAGTGCCCCAAAATGCCGACCACAGCGAAGGTCATGCCAGCAAAGTAGCAGTAGGTATCGCCAAGGGATATCTATAAAGAATAAATGAATGATTAAATAACTTAATTTAACAAGTGTTTAATTCTTCCTTATAAGTCCTTAATTTCATAATCAGTTCTGCATATTCAAATTCAAAATAATAACAGTAATCTGCAACAGTGTTGTAAATAAACCAAAAACCAGCATCGTTTTAGCTAGACTTGGCGAAAAAAAGCCAGAATCCCCCTACAGCGCCGAACAGCTGGGCAGCGTCAGGGAGGACATTTCGCGACAGCTGTGCGGGGGAGGAAAAACAGAAATTTTTTGGGCGTGTTAAGAAGCAAAGGAGACGCGAAATAGGTACAGGAAATTTAGAAAAATGAACAAGTGAATGTGCAGAAAGTGCACTAAAAATACAACATGGCGAGGAGCACCATCACGCTGATGCCATCGCACTCCCTAGCAGCGGGAGCCGGTGCCATGGGACGCCTGGCTATAACCAAGAAGCTGGTGCTCTGGTCGGTGCTGGTGCTCCAGGTGGGCTTTATTGGCTGCATCTGGCTGCTGCAATGGGACACGGAACCAGGAGCAGCAGCAGCAACAACAACGGAGTGCCCTGGATCAGATCGGCAACCGTGTGAACTTCGTTGCGAGTGGTATGGGTGGAGAAGCTGGGAAAGCTCCTCTGAATAGGGAATCCCTCTGCCCGCGGCAGCACGAGAATGTGAATCGCTTCGACAGAGACTTTTACCAGATGAAATCCGAAATGGAGAGACTGAACGAATCCCACCCACCGCCAGACTACGATGTGCCCGCGTATGTGGACGCAGAGATGGGTCCGACACCGGCCCTCTGGTGCTACCGCGAGGGCACCATTAACGAGACTATAAAGATGAACGATGTGGATTACCTGATGGCTCCGCCGCAGTGCAAGTGTGCGAGCGGCTGGCATGGCAGGGACTGTGGCCAGCCGGAGATCATCTGGCGAGCCCTGATGACGCACAGCCGGACCAGCAAGCGAGGCGGAAGCACGCCCCTGCAGCTGATCGAGGCCAGTTCCAGTTCCCTGCATCGCCTCTTCTACCTGCTGGAACTGGGCACCTGGGAGCACATTAGCCTGGAGCTCTTGGAGCTGCAAATTCGAGCCCTTCTTGAGGTGGTGGACTACTTTCTCGTGTACTACGTGAGCAACAGCAGTAAAGAACGGACCCTAGAGAGCTTGCTGGGGCGTCAAACTAACTACATGTTGTTCCGCTGCTCCTCAGAAAGCAACTGCAGTAGTTCTCTAGCCTACAGCCACTTCAGGCGTCAGCTGTGGGTGCAGTGCGGACTACAAATGCAGGCCCAGGATTTGCTGCTACTAGGAGACAGTCGAGCAGTTTATGCACCGACAGCTTTGAAGTTTCTCAAGTACTATGCTAAGGATGTGCTGCCCCTGAGATTCCGGCTGAAGTACAATGTGTACGGCTTCTACTGGCAGCACCCGAAAAAGACCCTGCTAAGCGGGGTAATAAGTTCCTTGGGGCACCTACACAACAGTGCCCAACTGGATGCCCACCAGCTGCAGCGAATAGCGAGCGGAACCCTGGGCGACCTCAATCACTATGGCGGCTGGAGCTGCGAGCTGTGCCTGCCACCCGAGCAGATTGTGCTCCGGCTGCAGGGCGCCAGCCAGCAGCAGCAGTTACCTGTGAAGCTACCCAACGACACCCGAAACGCCCACATCGATGCCACCTATATGCAGCAGTTGATAGCCAATGGAGTCCACATAGACGGGACTACACAGTTGGTACGGCTGCGCGAGCAGAGCGAAAAGTATTACGCTCCGGAGGAGGCCCTGCGACACAGCAGCCAGTTTGGCCAGCTGCTGGTCAATCTGTACGATGTGGACGTGCTGGAGGATCTCCAGGAGGATGACTAACTATGCCCAAGGCACAACACACACCTTCTCGACGCATTATATATAAGATATATATTTATATGTGCCTGCTTTTGAACCCCCATCTCAAAGTCTAACGATCTCATAATCATCATATCATTACTCTGCCTAATTCCCTCATGCGTGTACGTGCCCTTCTGTATTTTTGGCCAGCGAGTTCCAAATTATTAGTATCTCAGCAGACAGGACGACGGACAGACCCGCCATCTGTGATAAGCAAAACCAGAACTAAACAAAGAATTTACAAATATAGAGCAACACCAGAGCAATTCTCGAGAGATTTGCTGGAATTATGTTGTGAAATTGGGTTGAACGGAATTTAGCATTACTTTTAAGAGATGAAGCTTTTTAGATTTACTTTAAATATTTATATAGATTAAATGTATGACGTTTTATCATTTGACAGTTATTAGTTTATTACTCTAGGGCTCGAGGTATCAGCAGAATTATTATAACTTGTTAACTTGCCAGATCAATTCAGTATTTATAAAATAAAAAAGGAGAATAAATAAAGCAAAAACTTACTGGTTGAACTTCCACAACGCCAAGGTCGTGGCCAGAAACGGCAGCATGAAGTATATGGAGAAGATGTGCGAGTCCACCTGATGTCCAAGATACAATTCAATGGAATTGAACACCAGTACAGATCCGGCAATAATCAGCGACTGTCCCACCTCCAGGCCATTGATGCCCGCCAGGATATTGATGGCGTTCGTACAGAATACGGCCAGCATGCCCATGAAGATGTAGTACAGAACACCTAAAGGGAAACATCAATTAAACTCAAATATATATGCAGGAAAGTGATGCGATACCTATGTTTAGGGAGGTTCCAAATAAGGCCCTTGCAAAGTTGGGCATGATGACCGTGGTGGAGTTGTAGTTGACATAGTAAACCATCAGTAGTGGCAATGTGGCGATGGTGGGAAGGAGCAGCTTGTGGCGCCAGCGCAGATCCAAGACGTCGTCAGCAAAGCCCAGAAAGATCATGCAGCAAATGGACAGCAGGGCAGCAATCAATTCTACGAACTACGAAAAGATAAATATAATTATATTGATAAGGTAGCGAACACCCGACGTTGTTATTTACTTTATCATGTGGAAAGGTATCGGGCTTTCCGCCAGTTACCGCATCCGTGGCAGCCGCCTCATCGAAGGCAAAGGGCACGGGTATGAACAGGAAGAGGGAGACCAGAAACACACAGCCAATCAGCACGCCAAAGGATTCGGGACTGCAAAAGGGAAAATACGTTGTATATACAAAGCATCCACAGAGGAGACTCAAAACTTACACCTGTGGCTTGTCCTTTTTGCACAAATCGTTGCCAAAGAGATTGGCCTTGATGAACATCTCCCGGAAGCGGGGAATCATCCGCACCGTCATGCAGTAGGCGGCGCCCGAAATGGCTGCATTTATAAGTATGGCTGCTCCAGACATGGTCGAGACCTTGAAAATGCGCCACTAATTCAATTAGCTGGCTGCCCTGGCTGTTCACTTCAACAAAAATGCAACGCAGCAGCGCCACGCAGTGTGTGCGCTGACTCAGAGGGTAAATTGGGAATCCGTGGATGCGGACTGGATCACTCGATCATGGTGCAAGAAAGTAATTACGCCGACAAAGTACACGCAATTTCAATCTCTGATAACAACAAAACACAGCTGTTCGGGCGCAGTGTGGCCGGAGGTCGGAGCTTGCCAACAATAAAACAGTGTGGCCAGGTGATCGAATATTGAACATGTTCAAATTTAAAAAAAAAGTTTCTTTATCAATATTTTTTTACCCAGGACTAACTGAACAGACTAAGAGTAACATTAATTATATAATTTTTATAATTGAAAACGTCCTTATTTTATTTAATATCAGTGATTACAGCACTTGGACCACCTCCTTTGTTTACACATATAATTAAAGATCTGTTTTAACAAAATAGCAATCGGATGATGAGCGTAAAAATACTTGTTCTTTTCGAGCTTCCTTTGTTGTTTTATATAGGCTAAGGTAGGTTCCTATCTGTAAGTATAGTGGCTGGCGGCTATCTATCCCTGAAGAAGGGAAATGCCTTCTGCAGCTCCGCCTTGGACTTACAGGCCTCCACTTTGGGCAGTGTCTCCACCAGATTGAGTAGATAGATCTGCAGCTGCTGACGCCGTTCCTCCACAAAGACGAGGTTCATGTTCCCGAAATGCTTTTTTGGCGGGAACTCAACGCCACTGACCACCGGATGGGTCTTCAGTAGCGACTTGTGCAGCTTGTTGAACTCACTGTAGCGTTTGAAAAGCGTCCAGTGCTCCAGGCGCTCCCTCATCGTGATGTGGATTTCGTAGGTGTAGTGCGAGCCAGATCGCTGAGTCTTGGCAAGTTTGACATGTGGAATGGTGATCAGGAAGTTGGAGCAGAGCGACGAGCTTGGATCAATCCCCGTCTCCTCGAACTGTTTGGTCAGACGCCGAATGAGCAAACGGTTCTGTAGATTGAGTTCAGCCACACGGGTCTCCAGCAGGGCGCATCTTTCATTTAGTTGGTTAACCTGCTCCTCCAGGGCCGTCTGCTGCTGGCTGTTGGCATGGCAATTCGCCGAGGACGAAGACTTGCTCCACTGCGAAGAGGTATCGCTGCGATCTTCAAATAGATCGTGGTCTGCCGCAGTCTGTGGAAAGACTTCCGGCAACGGTGTCTTTAGAAACTCCAGCTCCGGTTCAATGGGATCAAAGGGTTCGTCGACACTAATATCTTCTGACGGTTTGCTAAGTTCCTGAAGCACAGCATCTTTGGAGAGTATTTGCTGCACCTCCAAGGATTCAATAGGTTTCAGGGCACCCAGTAAATCTTCTGTGGAACTGGCTCCCTCGATGGGTCGCTCCACGGCGATACCGGGATGTCTTCTTTGGCGCACGGACACAGGGACTGGATTGGGCGCATATATAATGGGCTCTTCCTTGACTGCAGGACCTGCTGTGAGTCTCCTGGGCGCATTAAGTTCCGTGGTGTCCACATTTAGGGCAAATAATACATCGTTGAGGGAGTCTATTATCTCAGGCAACTTCTTAGCTGCCTCCTCATTAAGCAACAATGACCAGGGCGTGTAGAAGCGGTGCAGGAGCTCCTCGTCGCTTAGCCAGGTAAGAACATGGCTGTGCAGACGCTTCTCATTCAACGCTGCGCGAATGAAGGCACGACCACGGCCAACATTGGTCCAGATCTGCTTCAGGTCCGCATACCGCTGGCGTTCGTGGGGAGTCAAGTGCTTCTGGCAGAAGTCCCATAAAGTGGCGTCATTGTTGTTGCTGCCAGCGCCCGCATTTCCCGTCACCATCTCCTGCATGTTCTGAATAAAGCTGGCGGCGCTGAATGTAGAAGTACTGCCCGAGGTCTGCCTGAGCCCGTATCCTAGCAGCTCCTCGAGGGCATCACACAGTTCCTGGACTGACTCATCTCGCTCCGTGGCCAGCTCTTTTCCACTGTAGTTTTGCGAGATCTGATGCGCACTTTCCTGAAGACGTCTGAAGATGTCCTCGCGTCGTTGGCCAAAGGTACTACCGCCCAGCTGGGCGCGCATGGTTCGAGTGGCAGCCCCTGTGGGCACAGAGCTGGCGGAATTTTCTGGCATTCTGCGAGCTATTATTATTTAACTGTTTTCTTTATTTGCACTTCATCTTTGACAACAAACTAGTCGAGCAGTGTTGGTAAGTACGTAAATTGAAAAGTGGGTGCCTTCAGCAGTCCAATTATTGGGGAAGCGATTTTGGAAGGCACCGATATTTATTTGATCGTTTATACCCTTGAAATAGTACTATAATTGAAACACTATGATGGAGTCGTTTATAAAGCATATATATTCTTGATCAGCTTAAACATACGATTCTTTCTAAACATGGAAGAAAAAAAATGTTGCGGTGTTTTCTAACATTTTATAAGGGGAAACATTGTTAAAATTTTCAGAATTTGGCAAAAATTTTAATTTGTTAAACTTTTTAATTTGGGTATGCAGATTTATAAACCTTTTAAAAGCAAGCACAGATTCTGAATTAAAATTATTCTTTTTTGGCTTAGTTATGAGTTTTTTAGTTACGATTTATATAAATATTTAATGCTAGTTGCTTCGTTTACTAGTTTTTTCATTATTCATTATAAACAAATTAATTATAAGCAATCAATTTTAAAAATATATTAATGGGTTTTATATAAATCAATATTTCGTGTGTAAAAATTTACTAGTAACGATATTCTCCCTGTGAACAAACCGTTCTCCGCTGCCCTGGCAGGTTTGCGGGCAAAAGAATGCCAAAAGAATGCAGCCCTGGCACAAAATTGCCATCCCTGTTCGGCGCAAATGAAGTTAACACACAAAAAACTCGCGTAAACCTCAAATAAAACAATTAAAAATGTGCAAAATCAGGCAATAACTGGTGCCAGCATCGGTACAAACCTAATGCAGCGCAATAAAGCCCCAAAAGTGTAAGTTTTTAGACCAAGCAACGATTTTGTGCGTTTTCTTTTGTGTCCGCGTTTCGTTGTCTGCGCAAACTTCGCTTCATTGACTTTTCGAGCAAGTACTGCGCTTCGCATTAAAATATAACCCATAATTAAGGTGAATCGGATATGTTTGTGCATTGTTTATTGTCCAACGAGAATTGCAATTTCTTGTTTAGCGAAAGCAAAAGCATTTTACCGAAAATCTGCCCACGGCGGAAGTCGTTAATCACATTTCCTTGCCGCCGCCGCTGCTGCTACCGCCGCCAGAGCAGCGCCCTTTCCACACTTTGCGCAGCAGCTGCGTGCAAAAAAAGGCGAGAAGAGAGGAGAAGGCAAACAAAAACAGACAACGAGGAGCAACAGCAAACGGGAATCGGCAAGGAATTGATGCCCATATGGCTGAGACCTGTGACTAAGGCTGTGATTGACAGCTAACATTCAATAAAAAGGAACACGTACAATGTGAAGCGAGATTTATGCATATTATTTCCTTTTTTGTTACTCTTGTGACTTTTTCAAGATGTTTTAATAAGAATTTTTACAAAGGCCTAAGGGTGACTTATTCAAAATGCTTCAGGATGCGTATAATTTATAATTTAAAGGTTATTCACAAGCATCATTCATAAATCCATCAGTAAATAATCTTTAAATTTAAAATTTAGTTTTAATCCGATATTTGTTTTAAATGAGTCTGATTAATTCTGTATTTAATAATTATTTTCTTTCAGCGATTCTTCCACAACAGAAGAATGAAGTCGACACTGCAATAAAAAGCAATAGATCTTTTTGAAGAACCCTAGGAACCCCTTGTGTCGTCCCATAAATGTTTTAATTATAATAGGTAAACCATCATCAAGCGTGTTATTCGAGCATCATCCATTCAATCAGAATGAATCCGGCCGAAATGCGTATGATGTGGATGAGCAGTCAGTATAACTCGGAGCGCATTACCTTGGAAGATGCGGCCACTCTTCTGGGTCATCCCACTGTTGGACTCTCTGTCATGGAGGACATCTCTGCACACCAGCCCACTTTGGTGAGTTATGAGCCAACCAACTTGGTCTGATACTACGAGCCAATCTCTCAATTCGAAGACTAGTAAATATAATTAAGAGATCTCATTATATTTGATAGTCCTCAGAGTCGCAAGCAAACCCAAATTCCTAGGCTTTAATATGTACTCTTTGTTGGGGATTGGCCAACCACAAATATCTCATTTTTGTCTGTCTCAGTTGAACAAAATTGGAATTCGTTTACTTATTTCTTCTACTTTCTTTTCTATGATTTATGTATTGGTTACAATTTAAAAAACTCAACACAAAAACACACAAAAACCAATGAATGAATGAACCTCCACCAACCAACCAAACAACCGACCAATCTCCAATATCCGCCCCTTCGACTTCGCTCAATAAAAAGGAAATGAATCCGATGATGAGCCTGATGGGTGGGGATTTCACCGGTCAGGCGGCGGCGGCTGCAGCGGCGCTGGGCGTGCAGCCGGGCACCCTGATAGCCACCAACTCAAATAACCTCTACGGATTCGCCCACATGGGCAGCCTGCAGCAGCAGTTGCTTCAGCAGTCGGCGGCAGCGGCCGTCTTCCAAAACTATGCCGAGGTAATGGACGGCGATGTAGACACCACCGGCATGGTGGGCATGGCCACGGACGCAGCATCTTTGATGGGCGTCGATGTAGGCGTTGGCCAGAGCGTTGTGGACGACGATGATCAGGGCTATGGCCAATTGGACGATGGCTACGACGATGGCGGCTCGGGGCTGGAGCCCAAACAGGAGATCATCAACATTGACGACTTTGTGATGATGAACGAAGACAACAATTCGTACGATGGCACCGACTTCATGACCTCTTCGGACAAGGACATCTCGCAGTCCTCCTCCTCCTGCATGACCCAGCTGCCCGGCGGCTTAGGCGTCACAGGTGTTGAGCATGATCTTCTGGTTCCGCTGGCCGATGGCCTGCTGCATCACAAGCTCCTGGGCACAACCCTGGCCCCGGCAATGACAACGCTCAATGGCAATGCTTTTGGCAACATAATGGTCAGCTCGGAAGCACCCAAACAAATGCATCGCAACACCTTCGGCCTGGCCAAGGGTGGCGGTGGCGGCAGCCCTGCAAGCACCACATCAAATATTGCCAGCTGCAGCGCAGCTTCCACATCCTCCGCCTCTGCCGCGCTGCGCGCCCAGCGCAAGACACGTAAGATCGAGCCGGTAAACAGGCCAGGACTGGTGCTGAAGACACCCATCGCCTACAAGGGCAACATAGATCCATCGGTGATCCCCATTCAGAAAGATGGCATGGGTAAGGTTGCTCTAAACACGCAATAGGGTGGGTCGATATTGGTCCATGAGGCATTAAAGGGGCGGCATGTCATATATTATTATCTAGGAATGGAAGAAAATGTAATGTTTAAGTACTATTTCGATAATTGATGGCAAAGTCAACATATTAATAGATATTTCGTCGCGAAAGTGGATAAATACATTAATATTTTTCGGTTGTGCAATAAATCACTCTTCCTATGACATAAAAATAACATAATCACACAAAGTAAACCAAATTAAAAAAACTTTTTCGAATATATAATTTTAAATGTTTAACGTTATTTTCCATATGATATCGATCTCGATCTGTTTGCCGATATACCATATCGTTTTATATGCATATGTATATACTTTTAAAAATTAAGTTTAAAATAACTCTTAATCAGTTTTTAATGATCAAGGGATCATTATATACATATATCAAAAATATTCTTATTTCATTTTTTAAATATAATCCTTAAAAAAGCCTATTCTTTTAAAGGAACTACATATTTGTTGGCTTGTATTAGCTCTGAGATTTTATTCCAATCGACTCGCCCTATACCACAATTATTTTCATGCTTTCTTAGTTTTAGTTGCTAGCAGTTTTAATTTTTGTTATATTTTTGTTTAGTCAATTTGAGTTAACAGAATTTGGGTTTGTATGGCAGGGTTTGCAGTAGATTTACCTATAAAAACGAAATAATTATGCATAACAAAATATGTTATTAAAATCACCCTTTTCTTGCTTTCCCTCGACAGCTGTCTGTAAGCGCTGCGGAGCTATTGGAGTAAAGCATACATTCTACACGAAATCTCGACGCTTTTGCAGCATGGCCTGTGCCCGAGGCGAGCTATATTCCTTGGTCCTCAATAGCAAGATGGAGGGCGGTTCTATTAGTTCCCCGGTTCCCGGAACAGCGAATTCTGATGCCACCGAAGAGATATTAGCTGATGACCAGCAGCAGCAGGTTCAGTCTGACATTGAGCTGGATTTGCAGGCGGCGCACATCAAGAATGCCAATTATAGATTCCGTATTACGGATCAATCGAAGATAACCCAGTTAAATAGCTTTGGTGAGCCCATGTCTCTTGGCGGCGATGCGGCTGCCAATAATGTACAAATGGCGGCAGACGAAACGATTGCTGCCTTGAACGGCGGCGCTGTGGGTGATGCTGTTGCTCCAGGCGGCGCAGAGGATGGAGAAGCGGCCACACCAAATGCCTATCATCTGAATGCAGCGCCAACGCCAAAGGCACTGCGACTCTTCAAGGACGTCTATCCACAGGATGATCTACCGCAGATACCCAAGTACGAACGTTTGCCGACACCCTGTCCACAAATGGAGAAGATAATCAGCATCCGGAGACGAATGTACGATCCCACACACTCCTACGATTGGTTGCCTCGCCTCAGCAAGGAGAATTTTAATGCAGCGCCAGTGACCTGCTTTCCACACGCACCTGGATGCGAAGTGTGGGATAATCTGGGCGTGGGCATGAAGGTGGAGGTGGAGAACACAGATTGCGATAACATCGAGGTGATTCAACCCGGCCAAACGCCCACATCGTTCTGGGTGGCCACCATTCTCGAGATAAAGGGCTATAAGGCCCTTATGAGCTACGAGGGCTTCGATACCGACTCCCACGACTTCTGGGTGAACCTCTGCAACGCCGAGGTCCATTCTGTGGGTTGGTGTGCGACCCGGGGCAAGCCACTCATCCCGCCCCGTACCATCGAGCACAAGTACAAGGACTGGAAGGACTTCCTGGTCGGTCGCCTATCTGGTGCCCGCACGCTACCCTCCAACTTCTACAACAAGATCAATGACAGCCTGCAGTCGCGCTTCCGTCTAGGCCTGAATCTCGAGTGTGTGGACAAAGACCGCATCTCGCAAGTGCGGTTGGCCACCGTCACCAAGATCGTGGGCAAACGTCTGTTCCTGCGCTACTTTGACTCGGACGATGGCTTCTGGTGTCACGAGGACTCGCCATTATACACCCCGTGGGGTGGGCCACCACAGTGGGTCACAATCTGGCGGCTCCGCAGGATTATCTGGAGCGGATGTTGGGTGAGTGATTACATAGCGATCAGCTAATGAAATACCTCTTTACTTTGCCCAATCTCTCTTTTAGCTGGTCGTGAGGCCATGATAGAGGTCCATGAGGATGACGCCACCATCGAGCTGTTCAAGATGAACTTCACCTTCGATGAATACTTTCTCGATGGCAAGACCAACGGCTTGTGGAAGGCATGAAGATTGAGGCCGTGGATCCCCTTAATCTCTCATCTATCTGCCCAGCCAGCGTAATGGCGGTGCTAAAGTTCGGCTACATGATGATACGCATTGATTCCTATCAACCGGATGCCTCTGGGTCGGATTGGTGAGCTGCTAAAGCTAGTGAGTGATAGCCAAGTGAAGCAACATCTATTTTTTAAATTCTCCAGGTTCTGCTATCACGAGAAGAGTCCGTGCATCTTTCCTGCCGGCTTCTGCACTGCCAACAACATTGCGGTGACCCCACCGAATGGCTACGACTCGCGAACGTTCACCTGGGAGGGTTACCTCCGCGACACGGGAGCTGTAGCCGCCGGTCAGCATCTATTCCATAGGGTTGTACCTGACCATGGCTTCGAGACGGGTATGAGTCTGGAGTGTGCGGACCTGATGGACCCTCGGCTCGTTTGCGTGGCAACGGTGGCACGGGTTGTGGGTCGCCTGCTCAAGGTACACTTCGACGGATGGACGGACGAGTACGACCAATGGCTGGACTGTGAGTCTGCCGACATATATCCTGTGGGTTGGTGTGTTTTGGTAGGCCACAAGCTGGAAGGACCGCCGCGCGTGGCCCAACAGCAACCGCCAAAGCCGGCGCCCAAGCCCAAGGTACAGCGGAAGCGGAAGACTAAGAAAGCAACGGCCGTCGGGAAGACTCCGACTGACAACAACACGCCAACTGGTGAGTTATACAGGCTCTCAAATCTTCCTCTAACGCAGTTCCTCGTTGCAGTTAAACCACGAACAATCGCGCTGAAGACCACGCCGCACTTGCCTAAGCTGAGCATCAAGCTGGAGCTGAAGCCAGAGCATCACAATGCTGCCTTCTACGAGAACAATCAGCCCGAGGAGGAGGGCGAGGACGAAGATGTTGATGCTGAGGCCGATGCTGAGGCTGATGGCGATGGCGACGGCAGCACTAGCCATATGTCTGAGCAGTCCACCACCCAGTCGTCAAGTGATCAGATTATCGGAACATCAGGCAGCGGAACCGGCATCTCCTCTTCGATGGTAAATGCCACCGCCACGGGCACAACAACAAAATGGTAAAGAAATCTTCCACTACTAAATCACCGGCGCCACCAACTGTGGGCCGCAAAGCCACTAGTTACATTGCGGTGAGTACTTAGTGGAATAATAGTGCGTAGAGTCATCATCCAGTTAGCCCGCCTGATCGCCTGCCAACATGCCCGCCTGAAGTCCAGCTCATGCAACTAAATCGGTTGACCATCGGCACAGTTGTTTCAACATGCAAATCAAGGAATTTCGTATTTTTAGTTAAAGCTTTGTTCTTTTAAGGATAGTAAAAAGATTTATGACCGAAATGTAAATTATATTCATCCCTAAAATGTATAACCTAGTGAAGATAGCTATTTTCGTATGAACTAAAAAAAATTTGATATACTTTGGTCAGTTTAACATAGCAACCTTAAACCACTGTGCCATGGCTCCGTCACGCAATTGCATAAATGTATATAACCAAAGTCATACATTGCCAACTTGTATATAATATTATTTTTACGCACTGTTATTTTTGGTACTTACCACAAACGCCGCCCATCCTCATACCCCATCCGACATCATCCAGCCTTAACCCCGCAAATCATACTGAGAACTTTCTCAAAACTGAATGTAATTCTATTTTTCCATTTCCCAAATTTTGTGTAGAACTCCTCTGCGTCGAATAATAAGTACATTCCGCGTCTGGCCGACATCGATTCGAATGAGGCGCATTTGGAACTGATGCCAGACTCGTGGAACGTGTACGATGTGTCGCAGTTCTTGCGCGTCAATGATTGTACGGCCCACTGTGACACGTTCAGTCGGAACAAGATCGATGGGAAGCGACTGCTGCAGCTGACCAAGGACGACATAATGCCGCTGCTGGGCATGAAGGTGGGCCCGGCTCTTAAAATCTCTGACCTCATCGCCCAACTGAAGTGCAAGGTTAATCCAGGCAGGGCCAGATCGCACAAGACCAACAAGTCGCCGTTTTTATAGTGCGAGGACTTCTGGAACTGTTTTGAAACCGAAGCGAAACGAAAGTTATCACCGACAGAAATACACACAGCATACACACAATTTTATAATGCGTGTAGACTAGTGCTTAGCCATAAGGGATTTATACATATATATAACCGATATATATATGGAGATACTGAAGTATTTTGTTAGCACCGGAAATCGAAACACAATCGTTGCCTAGTATGGATTTAAGTATCCATAATACAATTGTATAACTAACTCAAGTTTCACAGCGCGTTATTTTACATTTATACATATACATATATAAATATATACTATATATATCGATTATATAGTATACCGAACGTAGTCCGTAGTCGTATGATCATGTTATAGCAGTCAGAGCTCTTTATATCAAGATTTTTTTAAAAATCCGAGTATTTTTATAAGATAAAATGCATTCAACCATATAATAATATGGGTCTGGATATATATATATATGATGATATATGATTGTAAAGCCTAAGTTTGTTAATTGTACATAAGTTCGGTCACTGATTATCACCACCGCGAATATCATATTTTATACAGAACCAGAAACGCCATTAATCCAGGAATCCAGGCAGCATAAATCTTATACATACACTTTTCAGTCTTAAGTCACAAGCGATCGCAAGTCGCTTCTAGTTCTTAAGATCAGTTTCACCAGCAGCAAGCGTTGCGCTCTCTCTTTTGATTATTTTGTTTTTTCTCTTCGGAATCCCATGCCTCTGCGAAGAGATTATTATTGGTTTAAGGCATACTTTTGAAGATGGCAACACCTAAATAATAGAATTATGTAACTAGACTACACTAAGCTACCAGCTATTGTCAAATACTTAATAAACCCGAATTCAAAATTGCAAAGTATTGAAGAAATACAAGCTGTGGCACTTTTTGTTTGTTGCTTTTGGGTTGGTGAATAATGTTGGATATATTGTATATTTTTTGTTTGTTTTTGTCTACCCTTCCAGAGTATTATAATTGCATTTAAAAGCTTGCAAAACTGTGAAGGAGTCATTTCCGACCCTATAAATCATATAATTTTTGATCAGCATCAACAGGCAACTCTTTCTAGGCGTTTTGGAAAAATTATAAATTTATGTAAATTTTTTTTAAATTTATATTTTCAAATTTAAAAATTTGGTAAGCAGTTTATTTTCTGAATAAAAAAACTAGCATAAAATTCTATCCGAGTTGAAATTAATACATTTTGGCTTTGTTATGATATTAAAGACTTCGATTAACTCAAACAAGAAAGAAAGCTAACTCGGCACGCCGAAGTTTATATACCCTTGCAGATAGAACTTCTATGAATAGGAATCCATACAAAAAATTATATATTTGTGTTAAAAACAATGAAGTAATAGCTGCTTTCATTCACCTATACATATATATTGCAGTTTACATACACAGATTTGCATTTTCCTCTACATCAACGATCGTTTGTATGGCACCTATAAGATATAGTCGTCGATTGTCATAAATTTAAGACTAATATAAATAGCTATACTTAAATTTGATGAAAATCAGCTGAAACTGAAAAGTTATAAATTTAATTGTATTAATTCTCGATCGTTCCTATGGAGCTATATGATATAGTCGTCCGATCCGGCCCGTTCCGACATATATACGAGTGAGAGTATATAGAAGCTAACTACAAGTTCATTCAGATAGCTCAAAACTGAGAGACTAGTTGCGTAGAAACGACAGACGGACAGACAGACGGACATGGCTAGATCGACTCGGCTGTTGATCCTGATCAAGAATATATATGTATATAGTCGAGTGCTCCTTCACTGCGTTGCAAATTCTGACTGAAATTAATACCTGCAAGGTATAAAATTAGCATATAAAAATATCGATTTGATATACCTTGAATAAAGATTTTGATCAGCATAACCTTGTGATTATCAAGAGAGCTCTATTACAAAAAAAATCTTGTCTTGAAACTGATAAGACAACCGAAACATGACATCAGAATTGATTAGGAGCATCCTTATGCGAAGTTTCAGTTTAAATTTAAAATATATTCAAACTGATTAAATGTTATATTTTATTTAAACCTTAGTTCGATTAACCAGAAACCTAGCTATTTATCCGGATATCATCCTTAAAAAGCATTGCATTGTGCACTAGATTTTTAAATCAACGCATTTCAGCGACTTTAAATTTTAAAGCCAGTAAACAATGATAGACGCTTTATATATACTTTCTTTTTTAGAGTTGTTTATATTGTGGATATTAATACACTTTGATGACATACAGACTAAATTCTTACTGCTAAGTTTACACTGTGTTGTTTGGTGGCTAAATATTTATGCTAATTTTTGATTAAACACTTTTAACACGCACACCAAATGACGAAACTGGTGTATTCGCTTCTATATAACCACATTTATATGTATGTATATATATTCTGATCAAATCTGATGTGGGTGTGTGAGTGTAAAATTGTTGAAAATATAGTTGCCATAACCGATAGGGAGATAAGAGACAAAAAAGAGTAGAAAAGGATAATGTACAGTACAAATTAAAGAATAGTGCTTATATACAGAGTGTGTGTGTTTTTTGTTTGTGTCTAGTTATTAACTAAGTCTAAATGTTTTTTCTTTTCCTCTGGTTGTTACATCATTTATAGTATTGAATATTTTATTCTTAATTCTAGCTTTAAAGTTGAGGCGCTGATTTTCTTTGAAAACAAATAAAAACCCCCTGGTTCGTAGGGGGTTTTCCCACTTTTCGCTCATCTCTTTTTTCCGTTTTATCTAAAAAGGCCTCAATAACAACTTAATATAATAAAATACTAACATTTACAGCGTTTCGTTTTGCAATAGGTGATAATAAATAAACTAAGAGCTTTTCGCAAAGAAAAATATCATAATTGGGAGGGAGGAGTTGGTTGGTGTAAGTTTTAACTTTCAAGAAACGAGGATTGGGTGTCTCTAAAGCCTCGCGTGTTGAGTAATCTAGTGGTCCTAGTTCCCTATTTGCGCCTCTGCTCAAATTTGGCCGGTAGGAAGCAAAATATTGAAAATAATGGTTATTCCAATTTTACCAAACTAATTTCTGGAGTGCAAATGGGGGAAGAAGGCGAACTGCTTCAAATTCGGAGCTTCTTCGACATTGTTTCTTCTGTTGCGAGTTGTGTGTGTCGGTGTGCCTTTTGTTTACTAGTTGGTTTATATTGGATTTAAAATAAATACTAAACTAGTAGCAGGGCCAAATGTACATTTACACTGCTGCTGAAGCTGCTGTTAATTGTCCCGGCGGACTCTCCTGGGTCTGCGTGTTCTGATGCTCTTTATCCTCCGCGCTGGGTCGACGCTTTTTTAGGGGCGGAGTTTCCGTCTCAATTGCGGGTAATGGCATGACCGCAGGCTGTTCTTCAAGAAGACAGCCGGGACGCTTATTGCCGGGACTTAGGTTAGAGGCCGGAGGTTCGTCAGCGCCACTAACTATCTCAGTGACAATGTGTGCCTCCAGAGAGGGTGGGAGCAGGGGCGAAGTGGAACGGCATTAAGATCGCAGGCTTCCTCTTCATCGTCATCCTCATAGTTGGGCCCCAGACTGCCAAAGATATCCGTATGTGTGTTGCCTCTCTCCTCCTCCTCGTCGTCATCATCACTGTAATCGTTGTCCCAGAAAACCTGAGCTCCAGGGAACACATACGAATAGTTGTTGGTGTGAGAGTAAAAGGTTCCTGGCTTTAGGCGCTCGGCTGCCGTTTGACGCTTCTCTCGCTGGGATGGCGTTGGCGTTAAACTGGGCGCCACTGTCTTCGTCTCCTGGACAAGATTACTGGGACGCACATAGCTGCTGGGGGTGGCTTCGTTTTCGCACTGCTCGATCCCGCTGTCCTTGGAGGAATCGATGGACAGATGACGATAGCTTTCCACCGTAACACTGGTGCTTGTTGGTGTTCCTGCAGCAGCAGCCGATCACAGCTGAGGGCGGCCGAGGTCTCGTTTAGTTCCACCAGGATGTCTGTCTTTATGCGTTCAATGCTGCGGCATCCGCGGCACTTGAACGCTGCTTGCCGCTTGTATACGTAGAGGATTCAAAGCCGCTATCTGAGCAGGTTCCAGCTGATCCCAGAATGTAGTCCGTCGAGCCATTGGACTTGAGCGACTGTGTGTCTGTATCCAGTTGCGATTGCCGTTCGCTCTCATCCGCACTGCAATGACGGTGGTGGTGGTGCAATGATGATGATGGTGGTAATGGTGATGGCGATGATGCTCTGGTGGCATCAGCTCTTTGCTCTCAGTGAGCACCGACTCATCACAGCACAGCTGCCGCCAGGAGTCATCGTTGCCCGAGAGTCGGTGACAAATTTGATTGATGATGACATCGGAGTCGCCCAGCAGCTCCACGTCGAACTTCAAGTGATGCAGCTGCTCGCGATTGATAAGAATTTGCGGCACCGTTGCCGGTATGCTGCTGGGAATGTGGGCCACAGGTCGTACCTTTAGTGAGGATCCGATGACGATCAGCAATCGCAAATGTCTTTGTCGTGCCCATTACTGTGTGATATTCATCTGGCAGACCTATTGACAAGCAGGAGAAAGGAAATTTACGAATTAGTACAAAAATCATAGCTTACTGCTCAGTTATATGCAACAAGTGGCATTTTGTTATTTCAAAAATACAAAGCATAGTTCGAACAAATAAGATTTGACAGATCATACATTGTAACAGATCTGTTTCGTAACCATAGGTTCTCTTCGAGCAAGATAAGTATATAATAACTTCATTAAAACATAAATAATAGTACCTTCTCCAAAGAAAACAATGTCCGGCTTCATGATGCCGTTTTCCACCAACTGACGGAGTTCTTCTTCAGTGACGGCTACAGAGGCGTCCACGCTTTGCTCCTTATTTGGCTGGCATTGCGGACAGACTGGGATGCGCTGGGCAAAGATGTCAGCACGCAGGGCGTCGGCGTTGCACTTGAATCGGCACTTGGTGCATGAGGCCGTGGAAAAAGAGCCGTGACATTCGATCACCCGCTGGATACCCGCCACGCGCTCTAATGTGTCGATGTTCTGCGTGTAGTTACGCAACAGCTTGCCTTTGGTCTCCAGCATCTTGATGAACCGATGGCAGGGCGATGGCTGGAACTCCCCTGGATAAATCTCTCGGGCGAATTTGTAGAAGGGTCGCGGATCACGCTTGAAGTAGTTGATATCAAACATGGCCTGCGGATCGGGAAGATCGGGAAAGTCATGCGCGAGCCGCGCATATATGCCGTTGGTGGATCGAAAGTCGGGAATGCCACAGGAAACGGACACCCCGGCCCCGGTAAGCACAATGATTTTCTGCGACTTTTAACCAAGTCGATGACATCGTCAAAAGTATTTACATTGGAGAGCTTGTTGCGCCTCTTTGGCTCGTTCAACAGGTGGGCCAAGTAGTCCCACAGCACGGAGTCATCGGTGTCGGCGGCCAGACCTGTGGCAAAGTGCGGCATGATGCTGGCAATCACCTGGCGGGGAACACGACCTGTGTAAAACTCACGTTGCAGCCAGCGCAGCTTCCAATCGGGACCCACTGTCGAGGAGCAATTGGAGCTGGAGTCCTCGTCCTCGTTGCTGGTGCCCTCGCCCTCGCCATCTTCATCCTCATCATCATCCTCGTCGTCCTCATCGTCGTCGTCTTCCTCCTCCTCCTCCTCGTCCTCGCCCTCCGAGTTTGTGGAGGCTCCCAATTTGTTTGTATTTTTGATGTCTTGCTCCAAATTGGCGCCAATTTCTTGTTCTTCCCTGGCAGCCAATGTTTTTGTTTTGATTTCACCATTTGCTTTGCCAGCCAGTTCGCTTGTTGCTATTGTTGATGTTGCTGTAGCTATGGTCTCTGACTCTGTCGTGACCGAAGCCGCTGCCTCGGTTGACGTTGTGGCGAGAATTTCGGCGCCAAAATCAAACTTGGTTGGTGCAAAAAACTCTGGAGCATTCTGGCACTGCACTTCGGCCATATCTCCCAGATCCTTGGCCTTAATATGGCTCAGGCAAATTTCTTCGTAGTTTTCCATCATTTTTCCTACACACACTAACAAATTGTCACAGGGAGAGAGAAAACTCTCGAGTTGCGCTGTTGCTGCTGCCTGCTGCTTCTTCTTGCCACACTACCAACAGTGCGCGAGTGTTTCCTCGGTCTCTCCGCTTTGCGCTCTCGCGCCGTCCGTTTTCTCCGCTCTTTCGTTGGTACACACAAAAATTTTTACGTCGTCAGCTTCGCACCCATTTGGCTTGGTGGAAAAAATTCTCCAGCGGTCGTTTGGGGCAAAATTTGCACGCGACCCGAGCTTTTTTCACTTATCCGAACTAAATTGAAATTTTAAAAAATTTTCCAACCAATTTTATAGTGGTTTTTTCGTAATTTTCGACCGTAATTTCTGGAAAATTTTCCGATGAAAAAGCAAGATGGCTTCTTCTCCCACTAGGGATGTGCAGAAAGTGTACCAAGTATAGAGGTATCGATATATGAATCGATCGAATTAAAATATATATCGTAATATCTGGTGAAATATATGAATATAGATATATCTTTTTAGGTATGCTGATAGTTTTTATCTTTCTTAAAATGTACAATGCAAAGATACCATCAAGAATTTAAAGTGGGCTCAAACCCCTATAACTACACACAATTTCACAATACCACGTAAAGCAGAACAAGAAAAAAATATACATAACCTTTGAATGGTGTGGTGTTATCATATTCTTATTATAATCTTTATAAAGGAAACATTTTTAAATTGTAAAACTTATTTTGCGTAATTATTGAACTTTTTTAAATCCGGGAAAAACCCAGTTTCCCTATGTCCATTTGACCGCCGCGATGGCAAAAAATACTAAAATACCGAAAAGCTATCGTATCCTTGGTATATTTCGAGATTTTTAATAGAGGTACAGTAAGCACTGGCGTAACAAATATAACAATAGGAAAGTCACATAGGCATTACAATCTGATGAATTTAATAATGGCTATTTTATGTTTTATTTAATTTTAAAATTATGAAATATTATGTGTGAATTGGAGAGCATAATATGTCTTATACTTGGGCTATAACATATGCTTAGTTAAAGATTTTCAATTATCTTGTATTTTAAAAATGGAGATTATAATATTTTTTAACGAGAAGGTAAACTAAACTTTATTTAATCGTTTTCAAAAATTGAAGTCCAGATGTTATTCAGCTACAATCTCTACTGTCCCACGAATCGCATCAATGAACGGTATTTTATTTGTAATTTTTCTGGGAACATTTCGTTCGTAAGTCACACTTGGTCACACTCGGCAACCAAAATACGAAAATAATGTCATATATAAATTATAAAAATTATTTGTACAATCACAATGTACACCGGTTAGTTTGTAGGTTTTCAGGGCAAGGTAGCAATACGAAATGGACAACTTAAATTTATACGAGGTGCTGGGAGTGGCTCCGGATGCGGGCGCCGAGGAAATAAAGAAGGCAAGTGGCAGGCAAATTTGTTTGTAAATAAGTCTTATTTGCTACTTTTGTTTGAGCCTGTAGAACTATCGCAAATTGGCCAAAGAGTTCCATCCAGACAAGAATCCTGATGCGGGTGACAAGTTCAAAGAGATATCCTTCGCCTACGAAGTGCTTTCCGACCCGAGAAGCGTCGCATCTACGACCGTTACGGACTGAAGGGTCTCCAGGAGGGCGCTGAGGGATTCAGCGATGCCTCCGACTTTTTCGCTCAGTGGTTTCCTTTCGAACGCTCATCGACCGGGGGACGTGGAAAGCGAGAGGGCAAGGTCGTGGTCAAAGTGGAGCTGACGCTGGAAGAGATCTATGTGGGTGGCATGAAGAAGAATCTGGAGTATAAGCGCCAGAAGTTGTGTGGCAAGTGCAAAGGCGACGGCGGTCCCAAGGAGGGGCGCGAGAGCTGTGAGGCATGCGGCGGGGCAGGGCGTGCAACTGCCTTCACCTTCATGGGGCTGAGTCCCTTCGATGCGGTATGTAAGAGATTGGCAAAGCCCTTGATCTTAATTTTTTGTATACTTATGCTTAAATGTCATTACAGACCTGCCCGGCTTGCGATGGTCGAGGCTTTACCATAAAGGAAAACATGAAGTGCAGTCCCTGTCACGGAAGCGGTTTCGTGGAAGAGAAAATGAAGCGGGATCTCGTGGTGGAGCGAGGAGCACCGCATATGCTTAAAGTGCCATTTGTGAACGAGGGCCACCAGATGCGCGGTGGCGAGTTCGGAGACTTGATTGTCGTCCTTGCCCAGAAGGATCATTCACTCTTTCAGCGCCGTCACGCCAATCTGTACATGCATGACCTCGAGGTCAACATCACGGAGGCATTGTGCGGCTACAAGCATTGCTTCAAGCATCTGGACGGGCGGAACGTTTGCCTTAGTACCCAGCCGGGCGAAGTGCTGCATCACAACCACATCAAGATGGTGCGTGGCTGTGGAATGCCAGACTTCAGCCAACCGACCATATGCGGGGATCTTTATGTGAAGTTTAAGGTAACATTTCCCGACAATGACTTTGCGACAGCTCCCCAACTGGCCATGCTGGAGGATATACTGCCGGCCAGGGAGAAGACAGTTGTACCCAAAAACGCCGAAGAGGTGCAAATGACAGATTACAAGCCACAGCCCAGGCAACAGCAAGAAGACGAGGACGGCCAATCGCCGCACTTTGAGGGCGTTCAATGCCAGACGACTTAGTGCCTGTGGTTGTGGCTCCTGCAGGCACGGTTCCTCTGCCTCGATCTGTGCCAGATCCTGGGCGCACTTAGTATGGATGAGGTCTGCTTCTTGGTGCCGCTGCTCGTCTTAATATGCATAGTATTATTTTTCATACAGGAATGTTTGCTGTGAAAAGCGCGTGATCTAAATTCGTAGTATACTAACTAACGCCAGTATTCGAGACTAAAGCATAGCTGATTCTGATCTTCAATAGGAATGTAAACAATACATTAGCCACGCTAAATTAACACATTAACCCGCTAATATTTATTGTTTCTCTTGTCCTAATATCCCCACATAATATAAATAACAAATTACACTTTTATCTCACCCCGTAGAAATGGATAATCTTCTGATGGAGCATACTTACTCGGGCAATAGTTAAAATTTCCTGTCTCTCTAATTGTAACCTCCGAAATTGTTGATTTATTTAACTTCAATGAGAGAAAGGTATTCGAAAATGTATACCTTGAGAGTACTTGTGTTGTCCTTGTTTAATTTCAAATTAATGTCGTTGTCCTTAAATAAACTCTCGGTTTTGGAAAGTATTAACTAAAACTGCAGTGGTTAATTATAGTTTATTTGCTGTTAAAAATGAGATAGGAACCACAAGAGGTAACACTCCAATCTAATCGCTTTCGTTGGACATTGAAGAACCATCACTGAATACAGTCATTTCCCCATGCCATTGTGGTTTTGTCAAATCCAAAGGCAAGTCAGTTGCCTTGCCATTTGATTCAAGTTCCATGGAACCTTCAATTGGTACCGGTAGTTCCTTCTTTAAGGTAATCTCGGTGCATACTGCGGACTCTTTGGGAGCAATTTGCCAATCAAACGATTCCTCTTCCTTGGGCTTGCTTAAGTCCAAAGCATTCTCAAAGGGCTCTAATATTTCATCCTCATGATCATCAAGCTTTGGAACGACAATCATCTCGCCTGTGCGCATGTGCTTCACATCACCCACTTGGTTCACATTCACCTTCATCAAAGTCAAATACTTATTGTACTTGGCATAATTGCGCCTGCCAGTCTCGTCGTTCATGAGGACTTCGGCTTGGTTGTGACTCTTGTCACGGATGGCCTTCAAGCGAATGTGCTTGGTGATATCCCAGCGCCAGTTGGAGCGATAGGCGCACAGGGAGCACTCGAAGGGCTTCCTATTCAAATGGCCAACGATGTGGACATGGAAACGGGAGGCAGTGGCTGCCCAAAAAGTACAATGTGGACACTTGAAGACCTTCTTCAATGGGGTATTATCATTGGATTCCTCCGGGACGAACGGTTGAGTGACCTGAAATAACAAAAAGAAGATAGTAAGTAATAGAATATAAAAGGTTAACTCCTCATATAATCACCTCTCCATATCCAGGAGCTGTTTCCACACCGCAATAATTGAGATCACTGACAGCATTGGGCAAGTCCTCATCCATAATTTCCGGGTCTCCTCCGTCCATGGCAACCCGCAAAAGATGCTGATTATTCTTCAGAGCCTGAACACAGACCTGAAGATGCTTGACCAAAGCGACGGCATTGGGCATCCGTTGCTGGCAGTGAGAACAACTGATGCCCGTGGGTTCCGGAATCGAGAGTCTGGAGCTGTGATTGGGGGAACCACAATCTTCCGAGAAGAACTGGGTTGCTGATCATCCTGATCCTGATCGGGTTTATTGGTGGCCTTGCGCCTGGCGGCCATCTGATGACCCACCGTGGGCACATGGTGGTTCAGCTCATGTATGGTCAGTGATTGCTTAATGTCCGTGCTAAAGTCACAAACAGTGCATTTGTAAATGCCATGACAACCATGATTCTTGGTGTGCCTGTCCAGATTCCACTTGTACGGTGTGTGGAAGTCACAGGAATTGCATTTGATCAGCGGCATGGTGTGGTACTTGACGTGCTTTTGTACCTGGAGCGGATAGGTGTAATATAGGAGCACTTGTGACACTGAAACTGCTGTGCGCCTGGCGGCGGTTCCTGCACATCCATCGAAGGACTCTGCGGGGCCTCTTCCGAATCTGAGCTGCTGTTGTGAGTATCAAATTTTATAGATTCCTCTGGGTTGGTATAGGGCATCGACTGCAGCTGGAGCTCGAAGGCCATGGCAAAGATATTGTCATGATTGTCGACGATTTGTTGGAGCTGCTGCATTTCTTGCTGGCGTTTATACATTTGAAAGCTGTTTACCAGCTTCTGCTCCTCCCGCTGGAGCTCCATCTTGAGCTGTTCCAGTGTGGGCTCGTTCTGGGGCATCTTTGGGATGTTTGGATTTGGACCTGCCCCAAATGTGGACGGCATTTCGACGCTCTCCTCTAGTCGTCGCCTGCGAACCTCCCGGGTGAGATTGTACTTGGAACGCAGTGCGCCACCGGATGATCCTGGCAGTCCATTGTCGTCTGAACATCCATGTACCATCTTCATGTGACGCACCAGTTTTTGAAAATGCCGCGAGGCGTAGAGACACAATTTACACTCATTGATCACGATTCGCTCGCCATGGACGTCTCTTAGATGGGAGAGATGACTCCGCGGATTTTGGGTGTAGAAGGCGCACTGGTTGCAACTATAGTTCCTACGGATTTTACACTGCGGCAGATCCTCCTCGTTGGTGATGCCGGCATGACCCTCCTCTGGCAGCAAGGTATCCATGACACTCTCCACTTCCGGATTTGAAAGCATTCCCATTCCCATTGAATGTAAGGGAACCGGTAGAGACGTCAAATGGTTACACCGACAGAGGCTCTTCTCCGGTGTCCAAGGAAGAACGAAACATGGGTACACCGCTAACTAGGCTGCGTACCACTAGGTCATCGCCCGAACGCTCCACCATCGATGGTGCCTCCATAACTCTGCAAAAAATCTACTTAGCTACAAAATTAGTCTTTTGATTTCTTTTACCAAATATTTTTCTTGTTTTCGGTGCGCGAGCTGCCTTTCGACTGAGCTTTCTTTACAATGTGTCTGTCGTCTTCAAATCAAATAAATATTCTTGGGTTACTTTGATGACTGCTCGACCATTGACAATCTGTAAGAAAGTGTTGGATAATTTTATTAAGAAACTGTCATTTAATTTAGGAATCAGAATTAAGGGGGCAATCCTTTTCGTTAGTTTTTATTAGTATCTAAATAACAAATTTTCTTTATTAGTCAACCAACAAGAATCGGTTTAGATTTGTTAAAATAATTAAAGATTAAATGGCTTCATGAAATTATCTTGGTATAAAATGGAATGCTTCTATCATTCATTACGTTTCTTAATTATTATTGTCTATAAATCGACTTTATGCTTGGCTTAAAATGTATGTAATTCCACCTACGGTTAAACTGCTCTCCTAAAAAATTACATATTTTTGAAAGGTTTTATAATGAAATTTAGCATGAAGTCTGCACATATTCTTTGGCAGCTACATCCGTCTTCTCGAGCTCTGGCTTCATCTCAGATAGATGGAGGGGCAGCAGGTCCATCCGAAGCTTCTCATCTTTTCCCAACTCCTTGTCGTCAAAGTTAAACAGTTGCGGTAACTTCTGGCCATTTGGCATACGGCAGCCTAAGGTGTCCATGACGCGCAGTTCATCGAAGGCGACATGTGCACATGCCACCATGGGTAAGATCCGGACAGTAAAATCATAGACCATACATGAATTTAGCAGATCCGACAGATCCCGCGGCACTTGTACATTCAGCAGAAGATCCCAGCTGGGACGGGCTCTATGGTCTAGAACATCACATTTTGAGCGAACATATGGGGCGCTATCCAAGCCCTCTGTGCCCAGCAGGTCTACAACATGATGCAACTGCGCCAGCTCATCATGGTTGCTCAGAAAGAGCGGAGATCCCTTTAGCAGCTCGGCAAGGACGCAGCCGGCACTCCAGATGTCTATGGAACAATCGTATAGATCGTATTTGGCATACAACTCCGGTGCCCGATATTGGCGAGAACCAACATAGCTCAAGTTGCGCTTCTGTGGCTCCAGATTCTTTGCGTTACCAAAATCAGCTATTTTGAGCTGCATGCTCTGGCTGTCCATCACCATGTTTTCCGGTTTGATGTCTCTATGGCAGATTTTCAGCGAGTGAAGGTAGCCTAGTCCGCGGAACATCTGGTACGTGAGAATCCGAATATTAATGATGGCATCCTTTGGTTGCTGAAAATTTCGATATCGTTTGATGTAGTCCAGCATATTCATCGGCATGTATTCCATGATCAGGAGGATGCTACTCCTTGGCGGATTGCCCATCATGATGTAGGAAAACATAATTAACTTGACAATGTTGCAGTGGTTCTCCAGTTGCGTCATAATCTCCACCTCACGCTGCTGATACCTGGCATTGTAGTAGGAGTGCTTGAGGGCCACTGTCTCCTCGGAGTTGCGTAATTGGGCCTTGTAGACCCGGCCAAAGGCACCGTTTCCTATCAGCGCCTTGATCACGATCCTTATCTCAGTCGGCTCCTGGTTGAAGCGATTTCTGGCATAGGTCGTCACCATTGACCCGTTGGAGATGACATTCGGTATGTTGAGATTCTCCCGCCTCACAATTTTAAAGGGTTGCTTCCAGTTTCCTATGGATAATAAGCGAGGTTAGGTGGGTCGGCTTACAGGCAGAGAGTAGTATTATAAACTGCTTTTCTCACCCATTTTTTAAAGTCAGGACACAAATTTAAAAAACCAATGCGTGCAATTAAGCAGCTTTTTGTACAGAAATAATAAAATTTAAAAAATGGCAGAAATCACATTGCCGGATATCGGATTTATGGCATTGCCACCTTGTCGAAATATACGCTATGGGGAGTAAGTAGCATATGTGATTAACAGTTATCCGTTTTCCAGCACAGATACTATTGTTACTTTTTAAAATACTGAACCTCCCAAGTATGATTTTTAGTACATTTCAAAATTATTTGATTTATTTATTTAAGACCAAAAGCTTAATTATAATAAATTCAAGACATTACATCTATAAATATTATTGTTGTTCACTGTATTTGTGTTGCTTAAAAGTAGCAAAGCAAAGTATTGCTACAACTTCTTTTATAAGAATAAGCCATTAAAGAAAGATTTCTTTCGCCTTAAATGGAATTTCCAAAGAGTTACAATTACTGGCACTAAGCCAAGAAAATTGAAAAAGAAAATGCTGGGACAGGGACAGGGGGAGAACTGAAAAAGAAAGCGCAAAAGGTTGGGAAAACTCCCGCAAAGAATAGAAAGCTAGGATAAAAGCTGCTGTCGTAAACATATGCGTGCTTTTAAATGAACATTTTATGAAAGCGTGTTTGTAGCTTGTTGAAATTGCATTAAAATAAAATTGAATGGAAATATTTGGCACATTTGTTTCGATTTTGTTCCTTTACCGGAACACGGAAACTCGTGAGTGGATTATGTTTATGCAGCAAGCACCAGACTTAATGCGATAAAAAGTCGGTCGTCGGTTCTGGCCATTATCATTTCCGCTCAAACTTGCTCTCTCTAGATATTGCACTCTCTCTCTTTTGCTACAATTTTGTATTTTTATTTATTTTTTTCTGGGCTAGAACTTTCCTGACACACACACACCCCCACCACACCCCACCATCAAAGTTTATGGGCCATGCATTTGCGGAAATGTCGCCCGCCAGTGTATTCGCCTCTCGCTTTTACTCTGCGGTTCAGAGTTGGAATTCATGTAATTCCATTAACACAGACAACTTCCGCTAAAAGAGAAAATGGCTGAACACTGACACTCGTTCGCCTAATGGCCGAAGCGTGAGTGTGTGTGTGTGCTAGTGTGGAAGGATGGGGTGGATTTAGGAACTGGTGTGTTTGCTTGGCTTTAGTGGATTCTATGGTTGATTTTACGGATGGAGATGAACGATCGAAGAGACAAGAAAAATTTGTAAGATATCATTTGAATTACTAGGAAATATATTAACATATTTACGAAGTCTATAATTTTCATGGATGAAAAAAACTTACAATGATGTAATGTAAAATTGTTGAGCTGAAAAGTCATTGTGAATTTAAAAGAAAATAATATTAGATGATTCTAAACAGGATTCAAGCAAAGACGGCACATTAATAAAAACCATTGCTGCCTACTTTTTGGAACCTATACTTATAAACGTCCGGTTATGTTCGAATAGCTCTGAACCGCAACAATAAATAAAAAAAGTAAAAATTGTACTTATTCTTAAGTATTATAAAATTATGAATGTTGTCAATAGATTTTAAAGCATGTCATAAAAGATACCCATCAGCTCTTATACCATCTTATACCCCATTATTCCACTAACCCTTTAAGATTCACCAAAGAATTTGCACCTGACAATATGAAAATTATTTATACAATCACATCACGTTCGCGCACTCTCCATCATTTAGGCATCTCTAAGGATAACGATGGGTTGGGTGTGTCTATGCTAAAACCTAAACCAACATAGATCCTTCCTCTCGCATCCTTTTTGGCGCAGCCTTTGCGACATTAAAATTAAATTCCCAGATTCAAATGGCATATTTTATGATGGCATAAATCTGTCTTTCAGCAACAGGTTCTCATCAGGACCCCCGCCTCGTTTCAATCTCCATGGGGAAGCAATGAAAAACTTCGAAACGGAAATGACTGTCAGGCCAAAAGTGCGGAGCATCGTCCATCCGGGCAGACATTTAGGATATCCGTTTAAACAGCATTTGGTTTTTCCCTCTATATCCGTCTATACCACCGCTGTGTTATTTTTTCCTTCAGCTTTTAGGGATTTTATTTCTTTCTTTCTTTTTTTGGGGAGTGAGCCAAAGGCTTCCGTTGCAACTCTGTTGGGTTTCTGGGGCGTTCCGGCATTATAATTACAAAGTGGCTGGCTTAGATGGATTCGAAATGGATGTGCTGACGATGTGAGACGGAACATTTTGCCAGCTCTAAATGCAAATTATACCATCTATCGCATTTATGAAAAAAGAGGTCTTAATGAAGCCCCCCCTCAGAACTCTTTAACCCGGGACGCGTTCATAAATCAAGCTGCTGCACATGTGGCCACTCAAAAAGTTCACTCCTTGCAGCTCAATCGAGGTCATTTATCAATATTTGAACTCACTTCCATACTACACTCTTCCCCCCTGTACGTGCCACATTTCTGCGTTTGAAGTCGGAAGTGTTTTCTGGTTGGCTTTTAATGTGATTTGTGTTCAACCCGTTGAGAGATTCGAATTGGCAGCATTTGCGATTGGATTTCGATTATTTTATGGGGGAGAAACAGAGAAAAGCTGGCTTGTTCGTACATAATTTGGCGTATAATTTTGAGATATTAAGTGTGATTTATGGGATAATTATACGTTAGATATATTTCTAGAAATTACTCTAAATATTTTCCAATAAAGCATTCCTTACTAACCTGTTAAATAGTTAATTATTGCATTTGTTTGTGTTAATAGATAGCTTTGAGAATTGATTGAATGTTTGATTAATTGTCGTTCTACATATGTATATAAAGGGTTTATTACACAAATCGCTGGCTATTATAAAGATCATTCTAGAGAGGCAGAATATAGAAACTCAAGTTAAGCTCATACCTGTAAAGAAGATACAGATACTTTCAGATTTAATCTTTTGACTTCCCCCTTACCTTTTCTTTACAATCCATCATCTTATAGTCATTTGAATGCTCCTTTCCCCTACTAAGCTTAGCTATTCTTTTGTCTTTAGAGCAAATCCCAAATTACCTGTAGAATAAATATTTATATTTGGGAAGTACCCTTCAGGTTGGAGTGCATTCTTCGTTGCTGCTCAATTGGAAAACGTGCCGTATTCGGTTCTCGTGGCCAAGCACTTGACGTTTCAAAGCCAATGGCTTAATGGAAATTCGCGATTCGTGGGAAAAATCTTTCAATTGCAAAAAATAAATACATTAGGTATATACAAAAAGAACAAAAACAAAAGCTGTTTAGACTTACCCAGTGTATAATTAAGCAAGATTTGAATGACCGGGGAATGAGAATGCGTACGCTAGTCGCGCCTGCCACCGCCCACCATAACAAATTAAAAAGCTTGCGATTCACTGAACAAAATAATATATCACAAAAAATCAATAAAATAACAAGTATTGGTAAACCAAGTCAAGTAATTAAAAATCTAACAAAGTTGTACACTTTAATTGCAGGTATTAAAAGGTTTAAAATATCAAATCGTTATTATAGTATTATAAAACAAAAGCGGCTTTAACTTGTGATATTAAGATTTTGCATTCTTTTATAGGAAAATTATGGATGTGATCTATAGGATTTTTATGCATTTGATAGTCTTAAATGATATCATAAATTCTTATATTTTGTTAATCATTTTATTGACTTAAGTTGTAGGAACGTTTATCGTTTGCTTTTCAAAAATCTACAAATCTACTTTAAAAAAGAGATTTCTTAGGAGATATTTAATTTTATACATTATATTTTATATATTATATTATATTTTTTGATATATTTTTTATTTCCCCATAAATGTCCCACTTTTCGCTCAGTGTCTCTGGTTAGAACTTGGCCGAATGGTTTGCTGGATTGGACGTTGCCGGAGGCTTTGGCTTTGGCTTTGGCCCGATACTTGGCTTGGCGGCTATATAGTCACACCTTTGCGATGCACTGCGATCTCTCGGTCTCGGTCTCGGTCTCGGTCTCGGACTCGACCTTGAACTTGGTATTAGATGCGAAGCTCTCTGAAAAACCGGTTAACTTGACGGCTCCGGCTCTCGGAGGCTCTTTGTACTGCAAATTAATGGGCAAAGCGCAAGAAATCGGTGACAAGCACGAGGCAATGCCAGGCAACAACAAAAACAACACCGGAGAGATCGTCTTACCAAAGGGTTAACTGGAAAAACAATTGTAAAAAGCAAACGCTGGTACCTAGTCGGAAATATTCCAAAGATTTCCATTTCAAATTACCACACAGAACGAAAATTCCCAGTGTCAGGGTTACTTAATTAACAAGATAATAATATAAACACACTAAGGTATCTTTATATATTTTAAGCTGCATATTTACAAGCACTAAATATATAGCTTCAAAATCATATGATAATATATTGAATATCGTTGGTAAAAACATTATAAATATAGATTTAATTATATAATCCACATATTATTTTCTTCCTCTGCATCCGCATTACAGCACTGCAAAATAAAGAGCAGCAAATTAAAATTTAATTTACATTTTGAATGCAAAATTGTCCAGAGATAAGGGAAATCACCAGGCGGCCACCAGTCAAGTCGCTGGGATGTCGTTTATGCACCACTTGCTGTACAATTACAATTCTAATTGAAGGACCAACCATTAAAATCCAGAGAGCCGGGCTCTACAAACCCCAAAAGTCCTTTCAAAGCAGCCGCAGGCAAAGTATAAAAAATAATAAAAAATACAACAAAAAGCAGCAGCAGCAACACCCCGACACCAACATGTTGCGCTCCCCAAGAATTCTGTGCTGCGGTAAAGGGTTAAAGTGAGCAGCCAGTTAGGGCTCTTAATTAAACAAAAGAGCCACAAGCTATATTTAACACATTTCAACATTTTTCAGTTTGCTTTAAGATTAAGTTCAATTTAAAGATAAGGGTTTTTATATTAAAATGGGTTGCTTTTCGCGATGCTTTTACAACTAACTAACATATGAATTTTAAGAACATTAAAGCTAATTGTCTAATTAAATATAGATAAATATAAATTATAAACTATCTGTGATTAAAAGTTTTAATTTCATTTAATTAAATATTTTTTTTAAATATTTTTACAAAGGCTAAATACTTTAAAACCTTTTTGTACCACTTTTCCTGATTACTGATTTATGTTATATT